AAACCAAGAAAATGAAAAGGGAACAGAAAGAAGAAAAATTATGTTATCTGCCCCTTTTTAACTAAAATGACATTTTTACAATGAAATAACAATAATTATAAATTGGCCTATACAAAGTAATTGCTCGACTGGTTAGCTGACTTGAGTTCAATTTGTACAAAAGCGTCTGCTAAATACATAAACATAAACATAAACATAATGTCACACCCTGTCCTGTCTCCCCACTCTGTCCTGTCCTGTGTCTCCTGATTACTCCCACCTGCCTCTCATTTTCCAATCACCCAAGCACCCAGCCCTCAAGTCCAGCGTGTTTTATATTAAAAACCTGTTAAACTGTTCCCATCTGCCTGCCTGCCTTCTTCACCTGCGTGTGGATCCTCACCTCTGCTCAACTCACTTGCTCAACTCACCTCATTCATCTGCAGGCGGAGGGACCGAGTCTGCAGCCCATCGGACGGAGCTCGCCGGCCTCCAAGCGGAGCTGGGCCGGCTCCGTCAACTCACCAGCCTCCAGGAGTTCCAGCTGGCCACTCTATCCCCCCTGTTTCTCCAGGAGAGGGTTCCCGTCCAGCCAGCGGCCCCGCCCCCGGTCCAGTCAGCAGCTCCCTCATCTCCAGGCCAAGGGACCGAGCCGGCAGTCCATCCAACAGAGCTCGCCGGTCTCCGAGCTGAGCTGGTCCGGCTCCATCAGATCCTCAGCCTTCAGGAGTTCCAGCTGAACAATCTATCCTCCCTGGTTTTCCAGGAGGAGTCACTGGTCCAGTCAGCTGCACCGCCACCAGTCCCAACAGTGGCACCACCTCCACTCCCGTCAGCGGCACCGCCCCCGGCGGCCCAGCCTGTCAAAGAGGCTCTGACCCCGGCCCAGCCTGTCCAAGAGGCTTCGCCTCCAGCCAAGTCAGCGCCAAGTCCGGCGCCACCAGCCAAGCCGTCAGCGCAGAGTCCGGCACCTCCAGCCAAGCCATCAGCGCCAAGTCCGGCACCTCCCGCGGCGCCGCCTCCAGTCCAGTTGACGGCGGCCCAGCCTCCAGTGCAGTCGGCGGCTCCCCCCGCAGCTGCTCCGCCTCTACTCAAGTCGGCACCTCCCCTTAAGTTGACGCCTCCCCTCAAGTCGATGCCAGGTTCAGCTCCTCCCCTCAAGTCGATGCTTCCACTCAGGTTGACGCCTCCGGCGCCTCCAATACTGTCGGCACCTGGTCTGGCGCCTCCAGCCAAGTCGACGCCTCCAGTCCTGTCAGCGCCCGGTCCGGCGCCTTCAGCCAAGTCGATGCCTCCAGTCCTGTCAGTGCCTGGTCCAGCGCCTCCGGTACTGTCAGTGCCCAGTCCGGCACCTCCAGTCCTGTCAGCGCCCGGTTCGTTGTCTCCAGTCCTGTCAGCGCCCGGTCTGGTGCCTCCAGCCAAGTCGACGCCTCCCCTCAAGTCGACGCCAGGTCCGGCGCCTACCCTCAAGTCGGCGCTTCCACTCAGGTGGACGCCTCCGGCGCCTCCAGTCCTATCAGCACCTGGTCCAGTGCCTCCAGCCAAGTCGACGCCTCCCCTCAAGTCAACGCCTCCCCTCAAGTTGACGCCTCCCCTCAAATCGACGCCTCCCCTCAAGTCGACGCCAGGTCCGGCGCCTACCCTCAAGTCGGCGCTTCCACTCAGGTCGACGCCTCCAGTGCCTCCAGTCCTATCAGCACCTGGTCCAGTGCCTCCAGCCAAGTCGACGCCTCCCCTCAAGTCAACGCCTCCCCTCAAGTTGACGCCTCCCCTCAAATCGACGCCTCCCCTCAAGTCGACGCCAGGTCCGGCGCCTACCCTCAAGTCGGCGCTTCCACTCAGGTCGACGCCTCCAGTGCCTCCAGTCCTATCAGCACCTGGTCCGGCGCCTCCAGCCAAGTCAACGCATTCAGTCCTGTCAGCGCCCGGTCCGGCACCTCCAGCCAAGTCGATGCCTCCAATCCTGTCAGTGCCTGGTCCAGCGCCTCCGGTCCTCTCAGCGCCCAGTCTGGCGCCTCCAGTCCTGTCAGCACCCGGTCCGGTGCCTCCAGTCCTGTCAGCACCCAGTCCGGTGCCTCCAACCAAGTTGATGCCTCCTGCCCTGTCAGCACCCAGTCCGGTGCCTCCAACCAAGTTGATGCCTCCTGCCCTGTCAGCGCCTGGTCCGGCGCCTCCAGCCAAGTCGACACCTCCAGCCCTGTCAGTGCCCACTCCGGCGCCTCCCGCCAATTCGGCGCCTCCACTCCGGTCGCCGCCTCCTGCTGAGTCAGCAGCTCCATCTCCAGTCACCACTGGCCCTGCCCTTGCCAGGCGCAAGCCTCCCAGAGCCCGTCGCTGTCTCCTCCTCTGCCCCAGACGCCAGCCCCCAGACGCAGTCGCCGTCTCCTCCTCTGTCCCAGACGCCACCCCCCCCAGATTCATTCGCCGTCTCCTCCTGTGTCCCAGGCGCAGGCCTCCTATACTCTGTCCGGACCTGCGTTGGGCGTCCGGTGCTGCCATTTAGAGGCGGGGTACTGTCACACCCTGTCCTGTCTCCCAAATCTGTTCTGTCCTGCATCTCCAGATTGCTCCCACCTGCCTCTTGTTTTCCATCACCAAAGCTCCCAGCCCTCATGTATTTAAACCCTTTGAGTTCTGTGTGTCTTGCCGATTCATTGTTTTATGTCCGGCATGTTTTATATTAAAAACCTGTTAAACTGTTCCCATCTGCCTGCCTGCCTTCTTCACCTGCGTGTGGATCCTCACCTCCGCTCAACTCACCTGCGCGTTCGTGACAATTAGTGGACAGCAGATTCAAACAGATCAGTGAAAAGATGTTAATCTGGGCAGTTCGTAAGTTTTGTGATGCTATTGGTTAGATGTTTAACTTTACTAAACTAGAAAGATAAAATCCCTTTGACTCATTGAATCTTAAATATATATAATCCATGTTTTCCTAAAGGAAGAATTCAATTTGGCAAACATTTACTAATTCTTATGACAACAATTAAATTGGAATGCTTCTCCTGATTTTATTTCAATGACATGTGCAATACTGTAGAAAAGACTGTGAGGTAGATAAAAAGTAAAATATATGAATAGAAATGATCACAAAACTAAAATATTGGGTGACCAGAAATAACAAGTTACAGTGAAGCCGCTTGTAGAGTCTAGTCTTTCTTAGTTTTACGATCATCATACATTTTTCTGTGCGCCACTTGATTGTGAGACTGCTACCCATTAGCTTTAGCATTAGCCAGCCTACGTGTAGCTGCACTTTTGATCCCAAACTTTGGACCGGTTCTGCCTTTGTGCCTTTGCTTGTTCCTTCATTTTCCTCCACTGCATCCAGATGACCACACTGTGCGCCAGTAAAAAGCATTTTTCTTACACATAACTTACTTTTGTTCAATAAAATTCTGGGGAAAATAGTAATTCAAAGATGTAGCACCAGTTCTACTTTTAAAAATAGACAGAAACGCAGAAACAGCTTTTTTCGTCGCACGGTACAGCCCTGCTCTGATATGGAAGAGCCTTGGGGAAAATCGGGACGTCAATAGCACCAACCATAGATCTGTACCAACTAGCGAGAAAAGCAAATTTTGATCTTTGTCTGCAGTTGTTTTAGTGCTTTTCGGTGCACTGATGCTGAAACAGCGCCCCTGTAGTGGTGCAACGCTGCAACTGCAGTTAAATCAGGCTGGGGCGGCACAAAATTAAAATGTTTAATTAAAATTTGAATGCAGGAAAAACCCTGTATTGATTTTAGGCCGTATCGCCCAGCCCTAATACCAATACTGGTATCGGTGCATCCCTACTGTAAACAGAATTCTGTTGGATTTTTCAAAACTAAATAATCTAAATTATATCAACATTGGACATGTACTACAGATGCAAATTAGCAACTATGCTATAATCTGGCCCATTTACGATCGATACAATGCAGTTGATTGTTTATTAATGTGCAGTGCCCTGAATAAAGAATTGAACTGAAATAATTTAATTGAATTATTCCTAAATAATACAATATAACGTATATTCTGGTTCACATTGGCAGGGAAAGCCAATGAGAACTTTCCACTACAGCAGGCAGTGTGACATGTCTGTGATGCAGACGGAGTATGTTTATGTTTATTTATTTGGCAGACGCTTTTATCCAAAGCAATGTACAATTGTTAACCTATAGGGCATGTTGTGATCTGTGGGGCAAACCGGAGCACCCGGAGGAAATCCACACATGCATGGGGAGAACATGCAGCTCCACGCAGAAAGGCGGCAGTCAAGTTTTGTACTTGCAACCTTCTTGCTGCGAGGCAAAAGTGCTAACAACTGCCTCACCATGCAGAGTAAAGCAGCAATGGTAGGTCAGGCCACGTGTAGCTGTGAGCACAGCATGACATACAACAAATCTGTCACATTTACCCATAAAATGTGTCACAGAGGGCTCGATTTATGTATATTAGAAAATAAGTTTTGTTTTTGTTCCATGTAGTGTAAAGTGACAATGTGTAGTTTTTATCATTAATCTCTGGAAATATCCATCCAAATGTTGTTGTAAATGAATAAAAAGATGTCCAGTTGTTGATAAATATTGGCAGTTTCATAACATATAACCATAAAAAACAGGTCTAAAATACATGAGAGTAGGACTAAGTCTTTGGGTGACACCATGTTGGATGCCATAGTTTCCTTCTATGGAAGCCCATGAGGATAAAACACATTTACTGATTTGTAACAAATGGTTACAAAACATTCAATAATAAACATTTTTATTTTACACATTTACCTCTTCACTCATTGCCAGTGATGAAAGGGAATCTGATGTTCTTGTTATTTTGCTGGAGGTTGTACGCCCAGGGATTTTTGACCCTAATAGCCATCCAGTGGTAAGGTCAAATTTGAACACAAAAAAGATGTTTGCTTGCAATGACTTAGGTATGTACTGACCCTTATTGCCAAGGAAAATACACACTGTCACTTTAACAATATAATCTAAATATGCAAAATGATAGAAACTCCAAACCCAACAGGAGAGCACCTACTTTTTGCGCATCTCCTCCCGTGTCTCTGTTGTCAAGGGTCCCGATTGTTTCGAATCTGGAAAATTAATTATAAAGAACATTAGAATAAAATTGTGGATTTGCATTAACAGCATTTACATAAACATGTATTTATACTGATGCATGAGAGACGGTGAGTGTGACTGCTATAGGGACATACTTGGTGGCGGCTTGTGACTTTCTGCAGGAGGCTCTGAGGGTTTGGTGCTTTCTGATTTCTGAGAGTTCTTCATCCGTCTCAATACATCCTCTGACAGCTGGATCAGAAAATAAGCACAATGAAGTGACATTTCATTTGAATTAAATGCATTTGTTACCTGGTAAAAAAAAACACGGGTCACCAGGCTTGTCCTGAACAACAAAATGATGGAGTAACCATGGATGACATTGGGTTTAATTCATTACCCTTGGCAGCTACAAATTACTGAGCTCACCCCATTATAACCCTGTCATAGCACACAAGCTAACAAGGGGTTAGCAGCTAGTAATATGGTGCTATGTTATAAACTACAAATGTTAGATTATATTTGTTATATAAGGTAGGGTTCATTTGAGAACATGCGACCTGTTCGGATATCAAGTCAGCTCCTAAAAAGGCACCAGCTCTCAGCATCCTCCAAACCGCGTTAGCATGCTACACCTGAACGAAAACAAAACTGAGACGTTCCTATAATCTTGATACCTTCACTCCTTCAATAACGGTGACCTTCTCGTTTTCGTCCAGTCCGAACGACACGTTCCTGGCCGTGCTCCCGTTTCCTCCCATCCTGCCCGTTCCCCCGGTACCACACCGGAAAAGAAGAGCAAACGAAACTAAAAGCCCACTTAACTTTAGTGGCAGAAGGAAAACATAAAGGAGATAGTTGGAGTCACCGCCAGAGCGAATGGTGGTCACAATAATCCAATAAAGGTCATTTCTGAAGTATTCTCAAAGCTGATTGGTTAGAGGAAATCCTTCTTAACCAATCACCATTGTCAGTGACTCTTACTAGCGTGTTATGTGCGCAAGGTTTTGTGGGATTTATAGTTTAAAGAACAGACGTGGCGGCGACTTATGTTTGACTTTTTGTTCTGTGTTTGTGGTGCAATTATTCTAAATGTTAGCAATTCACATTGACATCTAGTTTTGCATTAAACATGCACGTTTTAGTTTTGAATATTTTTTTATATTTTCTGTTTTAATACTTCATTTCTAGAAAACGTAAGCATATGAACACTGAAATGCTAAAAAATAGTTACACGGATAACATACCTGTTGAAGAGGTTTAGCATTATGAAAACATTAAACGCATCTTACACATAAACTATAGTATACTTTTCTATTTTATCTTTTTAAAAACAATTAAAACATTGCCACACATCACTGAAATACGGAACACACAAATACCTTCAGATTAAACTCAACCCATTGTTGCATCTCTTTGAATGGTGACCCCATTTCATTTCATTCTACGAAATCACATAGCTCCTTCGTTGGAGTTGTTTGGGCTAATTGACATAATAAACTCCTAAACAGACTAAATTAATTTGTTGTTGATGGAGTTTTTTGTTACTCATTGATAAATAAGGGCAAAGCTTCTTTCTATTATTTATACAAACCAATTTTCAAAGATAATGAGTCCATCAAGTATATGATAAATGGCCTGTATTTGATATTGCACCTTCTAGAGTTCTGGAACCCCCAAGGCATTTTGCAACACAATCGGTCATTCACCCATTCACACCCTGGTGGTGAACTACAATGTAGCCACAGCTGCCGGGGCACACTGACAGAGGCGAGTCTGCTGTACACAGACACCACTGGTCCCTCCGAACACCACCAGCAGGCAAGGTGGGTTAAGTATTTTTTAATCTCTAATGAATTTGCTACCAAATAAATAAGCAAAGGTGTTGGCAAATAAGAGTAACCCAGTTTTTCTAAGCTGTAATATTGAAGTTTTTAAGAACCACATTAGTAATTATAAATTTATTTTATTCAGTCATGTGACAATGTAAACACTTTGAGAAAAAATATGAATATTACACTTTTTTAAAATCTCAATATGCATTTATGTAACACATTTATATTATAAGAAAAGTGAAACCCTCCATCTAAGAGGTTGTGACTCATCTGCATGAAACATTGCTCTCAGGGTACAAATGCCCTTTTTTATGAACATTTTCACTGGAGTTATAACTTCTTCGCACATGTCACTTTTACACGCACGCACGTTGGACAGAAAGTGCTTCACGAGTTTTGGCACTCTATGAACACCATGATGTGTATTTCTACTGCAGAGCTGCATTAATAAATATTTCTAGTTTTGAGAATTGAAATAATTTTTTGGAGTTTTTATGTGGAAGTGGCCAAAAAAACTACAGTTTTTTTTCTTCAATAAACTAAAACACATTAAAAATACACTAAGAAAACTTAGTTATAATAAAAATTTGGCTTTTATTGAGGTGGCCTACTTTACTTCTCTCTTCTCAACATTTTGACTTCAAAAGCATCATCTATGGTGTCTATAAAGTGCCAAAACTCATACACAAGGTTTCCGCGTGCATGCATCAAACACTGTGTGCGTAAACATGACATGCGCAAGGGAGTTACAACTCTGGCGTGAAAATAAACTTTGTGCACAGGTTTTGGCACTTTCTGAACACCACACCTTCTGTTTTAGTAGGCTTTGTGTGTTTTTATGTACGTAGAAATGTGAACTGTGTCAAGTCTCATAATGAAATATTTCTCCCCAAAACAAGAACACAAAGTGAGGCATGAAATAGTCCATAGTTTATTTTGTAGTCTTATGGAACGGCCAACATGGTATTCGAACATTTGCAAAACAATTTCACTGTGAAAGATTTTGCATTTGAAGACAAAATAATTCCATAGTAATTTATAACGTGTGGTCAGAAAACAACCCAACATCACACCTGTTTAAATCTGGCAAAGCTAGAATTACTTGAAACATTTTCCGTACGGTCTTGCTCCTTTTGTTTATAAATTTAAAAATCTGACCAAAACTCTCTGCATACAGCTCACTACAACCTAATAAAATGTCGATTAAATAAGAAACTTGTTAAACAATGCATTTAATCTGATTTCATTGGCAGGAAAAATTAAGTGAGATAAATCTTTAAGTTAACTCTTTTATTAGATGGATAAGTGAAAGAATAATGTAATAATGACCCAATTCTTTTATGGTTTTAGCATAATCATAAAATTACCCATTAGTCTCAGTGCGTCTTTACTCAAATAACTTAATTATATTTGGAAAATGTAATACTACTACTTTAAATACTATAAAACCCAATAACATTTCTGGTCTCATTTCAGCCGTTGTAACAATAAAGCTGGTAAAATCAGCTGCACCAGCCAGTTAGAGAACATGACTGAATTAGATCTGCTGCTGTGAAAACGAAAGCTTGTTTGAACTGGAAAACACCAAAAAGTTTCACACGAGCAGAGCTTAATTACTTCCTCCCGGAGTCTGAAGGCTCTGCACAGACTGGAATGATTCATTTCAAATAAAAGAAGAAGCAAAACTGGAAAATGACAAAGCATAAATGCCATGAAAACATCGATATCTATTGGGTGAAATGTGATTTTATGTTTTAAATACTTGTATTTGGGAGCTACTAATGTTGGGACAAGTTAAACAGCTTTAGATTATACACCCTGTGTTATGAGGACATCGATCAGACTGATTTGTTGCATTTCTTGCTGTTATCCAAAGCTTTAAGTGGGAATGTACAAATGTGTTTTTTCCACCAAAACTGATTTACAGACTTCTTTAGAACACCGATCAGGACTGAGCAGCTGATGTTTAGCTGATGGAGCTAAAGAGAATGTGCTGAGTCAGCATTCACATCTAAAGGCCAGTGGAGACAGTCCAGTCCACATGGGAGCAGCAGTCCTGGTGAGGAGACACAGCAGCAGCAGAACACTATGGCACCACTGTTAGCAGTTAGCAATGGTCTGTTTACGTGTCCCACTTGTGAACTCACTCTGGAATCAAAGAAAGATCACGACTTTAGTTCCTCAGTGTTCAACCACCTGGATCTGCAATGTTTTGGCCACTTCCATGAGCACCGTCCTAAAACACCATAATCATGTCCAGCTGAAGATCAGACGTTGATCGGTTTCCAGCGGTCAGCTTCCATGCTGCTAATACTGTTGGACCCATAGGGTCCCGATGCAACATCATCCAGGTAGTTACCAGCCAGACGGGAGCTGCTGGGACCAGTTCCATCGATCTGAGTGGAGGAGTAGTAAAGGCCCTGGTCAGGGAGGTCCCGTCGGCCGAGGGCTGCAGCTATCGTCGGGGGAAGGTGGACGTCGCTTTCGTCTGGCTCATCCACCTGAGACTTATAGGAGAACAGGATCTTGGGCTCTGAGCTGCAAAATAAACAACAAAAGTTTGGTTTATATTTCTGACATTTCTCTGATAAAACTGAATAAAGCTGCTGTTCTGACACATTAAGATCAATGGTTTCAGGTATTTTGTAAAACTACTAACCCAAAGAAGCCCTTGAGGAATGCGACATAAATGAGTGGAGCAAAAGCAGAGAAGTAGAGGAAGGTGGTGACGTCCACGCAGCTGGTTCAGAAAAAAAAAACTAAATGAGCCAACGGTCTAAAGTCAACTCTGTGGGACTCGTTCAAAGCTCTAGTCTAGTTCATCCGACACAACTAAATAATACATAAAACAAGAGTTAACTGAAAGGAAACCTACGGGTAGGCTTGAGCAGTATTACAGTGGTACCGTATACAGCTGGTGTTAATAAACAACTGTATCAGTGACAATACCATCAAGAATAACAAAAATTAATTACTATTTAAAAGCAGTGCATAGACTTTTCTTTGAGGATTTACAAGCTAACATTGACTGAATTTGTTTTGTGTAGTGTCATTCAAAGTCCGACAGCTAGGTGGCAGCATTTTTCACCGCCTTCATTCTTATCTTATGACACTGGGTGTCTTGGAAGCATCTGACTTGAGTTTTACAATTAAATTCAGTCTTAAAAATTTAACAGATAATCTGGGCTTTAGTATTGCGATTTATTGTGTGTGTGTGTGTGTGTGTGTGTGTGTGTGTGTGTGTGTGTGTGTGTGTGTGTGTGTGTGTGTGTGTGTGTGTGTGTGTGTGTGTGTAAAAACACACAATTATTACATTTTTAAAAATAATCATTTTACATCCCAACCTTTTCTAAATATGAACAAACTGTCACTAACCAGAGTCCCTCTATGATTCCAGCACACAGCAGAGCGCTGCCCAAACCCTGAACCAGGTTTAGTAAAGACAGGATGGCGGTGTACACGTAGAAACTCCTCTTGGCTAGAAAACAGGAAGCAAAAACAAAAGCTTACGATTTCATTTACCAAATGTTTACTGGCACAACTACCTATACAGTAAACATGGATTATTTTTAACGCTATAGCCTCTTGTCATTTTTGTTATTTATAAAAATCTGCTCATTAATGTTTGTCATTAAAAGTTGGGGACTTCAAACACCTTTAAAGAATTCTTTGGATCAGATTTAAATCTCTAATCTGTTTACGTCCAACTAACAGTTGTAGCATCAGTTATTACTAATAAACTTGTTGAACTGTCTGACTCAGACATTACAGACTCCTGTTCTAAATGTTTGTATTCAAATTTGTGCTTTAATCGCTTAAGTCTCATTTCTTTTTTTCAGCTTTGACAAGTTAAACTTACATGGCAGGGATATCCTTTCCCTCAAGTGGGTTTTGGGCAGGATGACGATCGTGGAGTACACCTAATTAAAAAAAAAAAAGGCCAAACCATTGATGAAAGGCTGAGCTTGGGTAAATATTTTCCCTCATATTTGCTGCTGCTGCAGAGTTACCAACCAGGAAGAAGAAGCAGGAGCTGACCAGCCAGAAGTGCCGACCTCCATGACCGTAGATGTTGAAGTCTTTAGCAGACAAATGATTGTCTGGATACAAAATCTCCAGCGTCCCCTAAAGCGACACTTTCATTTCATTCACACGATTTAGAAAGACGACCAGTCATGGTGTAAACATGACCATGTTCCTCATCATGTAATTACCTGTGTGATGGAATACGCCAGAGCCAGGACAGCGGTGATGGCCAGCACACGTTTTATACTGGACTTACTCTCTAGGTGACCTAATTAGAGCAAAGATTCAGACCTTTGTCATGTTCAGAATTAAAAACACACCGGTGTCCATTCAGTGATAAGGATGAGAGCAAACTAACCAAAGGCCAGCCCAAAGATGATAACACTCAGCTCAATAGCTAGCAGGAAGAAACGGGTGATCTCCCACAGCACCTAAAGGAAAACAAACCACAGGAGCAAAGAAGATCCACCGCACAGAAACACATCCATAGATTCACAAAAGGTCTAACGCTGCAGGAGTGACGATGTGTTAAAAGAACTACTCCAAAGGGATCTGTCTGGTATGTGAGGCATGTAAGATGAGCCTTTCCTCTCAGACATGAACCCTACACAGCTGCTCACTCTGGGTTTGTAATAAAAACATTTCTCCGCCAGGATGAGTTACTGGAAACAGACCTAACCAATTCCATCATAAAGCATCAAAAACAGGCAAACGGATGTTTGAACATAAAGAAAATAAAGAGTTGTTTACTGTAAGCGTGTTGATCACAAGGACAGCTTTGGATATGTTTACAAAACATGCCATGCTTTTCTTAATGATACGTAGAAATTATGTTTTTCTAAGCATTGAAAGAGAGATAAATGTTACAAACTTATAAAACGGAGGGTACAAAATCAAAGTTTCCACAACATTTCACAAATCCAGACTTATATTATATATGATCTGCCATTACTGTATAACGTATACAGATTTGGAGCAAGTCAAAAGCAGCACATCAGCTGAGACATCTTGTGACTGCCAAGCTGCACAAATCATGCACACTGTTGTATCAGAGCGTATGTTTAAACTCAGCTCGGTTCAAAGTGTTTCATGTAAACCAAAAAACTATTTATGTCCAACTTTTCTATGTAATAAATATGAATGTATGACTCTTCCTAAAGCTGCTTTAACAACTATTTAAATTAGTGTTTTTTTTTAATGAAGTGAGGTTTGTAATCATAAAAGGGTTTTCACACTTATTGAGAACTGGAAAATACTAAAAGTTCATTTTATTTAAGTTTAAAGAATGTCAAGGAACTCTGTACTATGAAAACAGATGCTTTAGACCTTTGAATACAAAAAATAACAAATTAAGACATAAAAAATATCCATGAAAGAGTAAATTCCAACAAAAACCAATCATCACATATCTTCCAACAGTCTTCGCTTTTATACAGCTTTAAACAAATAAATAAAATTGAACCCAAACATTTCTAAATGCTCCAAAGCGATTTTTAACATCCAAGCTGTAACCCTCCTTTAAGATGTACAACCAAGAGTAGAGCCCCATGGTGTGTCTTTTCTTACTTTGTCTACGATGGTTGCAGCACTGGACGTGCTGACAGTCATAGACACAATCGCTCGGGCGATTCCAACTGCTGCAACAACAAAAACCTAAAACAAACACATTACACAACATGTTTTACTGCTTTATATAATCTACCTCCAGGAACACACACAGGCAACAGTAAAGCTGATAACAACGCTGCTGCTGCCTAACACCAGAAACAAACACTCCGCGGGCTTCCTGGAGCCGACTATCCTATTGTCTTGGTGTGTTGTTGCCAATGAACACAAATGCACACAGAGATAAACTGGATTATACAACAAAGTGGTTGTAAATTGTTTGACAACGTCCTTTTTCTTTCCTGGTAGAGAGAAGGAAAAGCTAAATACAAACAGTGCTACATTTAGACATTTTTGGTGAATTAAAGCTGTAAAAAGCTAGAAAACTGGTCTGGAAAGGAAACAGAATGAGGTTTGTGTCCTACCAGCAAGTAAAAGGTAACAAAAATGGGGCTAGATGTGAGTCGAATCTTTGCCCTGGCTGAGGGCAGCTTCCACATCAGGAACATGAAGAAGGCAACATTTGGTGCCAACAGCAAAATGTCCCAGAAGCGCACCCTGAGACAAAATAATAATAATAAAAATTAGAATAATGTGTCTGATCTGCTGCATGGATCACACAAAAACAGCTGTCTGATGATTTTCACTTCCTGATTAGCAGTTTTGTTTCAAATGTACAAGAGCTGAAGATCACCTGGAGTTCCCAACATCCTCATACAGAAACTGGAGACATTTGTGAGGCTTGCTGATGTTGGATTGGGTATCAGGTTGCCAGGTTGGGAATACTGATGTGTTCTCTGATGATGGAGGTGAAACTGTGTCATTGGGCTGAGCAAAGCTAACCACAGCAGTTACTGTGGCTAGCATGGTGTCACGTCCTGGAGGGAAACATAAAAAGTAGGTTAGGCAGGGAGCTTGAGATAACGGTTGGAACTAGATAACGAGAACGTGTGTGAGTGTACCGTCTCTTTTCAGAGCACAGTATACTTACTTGTCAACATTTATCCACTAGAGACATTATGTAACAAGGTTTGTGAAGAGCTGAGTTTAAAGTGACAAACTTGCCCAAACACACTTAATCCAGCCTCATTTGTTTACACAACCTCAACAAGCCCGATGTTAACAACCACAAAACGGCAAAAGGTTGAACTGCAAAGCGAAACAAGGTTCCCTAACGCTGATAAAAGGAAGATTATTGGTCTCTAAACTAGGACGGGGGATTTCGGTCGTCAGCAAAAGCTAGCTTGCTAGCACCCGTCCTGTTGTTTATTTAAAAAAATGTTTTTTCTTGCGTAAACAGTACATGTCAGAATACGGTTGATAAGTGTGTTTATAAATGACACAAATTATATTAGCACCCCTTAAAAGCCGCCTAGCTTAGCGGCAAAGTCAAAACAAACGTGGAGAGGCTGTTTCTACGCGAATACAGCTTCAACTAGTAAACATTCCCATCTTACCGCTTCAGAAGACTCGATAACAGGTAGAAAGCTGTGGTAAAACGACGGAGCCCCAGTAAACTATAAGCGTAGCTGTCAACGTTTTAATCGAACAAAGCGTTGAACGCTTAACGCAGACATCGCTGTGTCTGCTGGATACTTTCGTTGACAATTTCCCGTCTGGTCACCTGATTATCTGACACAGGGTTCGCCCCGTTTATGCGCGAGCACATTTAACGTTCCTGTGGGTGAACTAAACACATCAAGATGAATTATTCAGGGAAACGTGTCTACGGAACGGGTAAATAATGCGTTATTTTGTTCCCCTGTAGCGCAATTATTGTCTGAAATAAATTAGTGACACAAAAAACATTGATACATTTGGCAGATATCGGCTGTTCGGTTCAAAGTGACGTGTCATCGCCGATTGGCAATGGAGTCAACCCACTTTCACTAAAAAAAAAAACAAACAAAAAAACACTTTCACAAATAATCTCGCGAGATTTACGTAACGAGCGTATTTTTCCCTAGGACGAGACATTTTTTGTCTATTTTATAAAATTTAAGCATTTTATTGGTATGTTGAAATAAAATAAAATGCAGATGGGCTCAATATATATCCTCTCTGATTTTCTTGCTCTAATAACACAATGGGACTGAGTGTGAGCGATCTGTTATGTAAAGTTTTTCTGTCCTAACAATATTTCCTGTATTTGTGTTTGTCCTAAGGTGTAGAGCAAAATGAAGACTCAAAGACTTGTCCACTAAAAAATATCCAATTCGAAACTAGTTTTGACAAAAAAGTAAGTCACATTTTGAAGCTGAACAGAAAATTAACTACATGTTTAATCCTAAGGCAAATATTCAGGTGCAAGAAGTAAAATATCATAAAAACACACAATTCTTAATAAAAGAAGAGAAAATATGTGGCCAGATTTTAAAGTTTATTTTAAATTAATGCATTTTATTTGAAATTAAATGTAGATAACATTGAATATGACACATTTGGTACCCCAAAAATGTAAACACTAACTGGAAACTTGTTTTTGACAATAATTCAGTCATACTTAAATGTATAAATCACAACAGATTTAAACAAGAATCTTAGACCTTTCCCCCCCACACAGATTAAGTCTTAACTTTCATATTTTAAATAAAGTACATAATTTTATTTCTCCTCTGCACGTATTTTGAAAGTTGTGATTATGAATAAAGTGTGACCCGAGCTTTGGGATGCCCTGACATCATCCTGTAGGCAAGATGAACTGGTTCACTCAGGTTAGCCTTGATCGTGTAGATATGGGTTTTTCCACTGGTGGGACTGATGTTGTAGAAGCTCAGCCTGTGGGTCTTGAAGCTGAGCTTGATCTCCAGCCTGCGTGACACCGTGGTCCTCTTCAGTGGCACACTGTGACTCCGCTCAAAAGCAGTCAGCAGGTTATTGAACCACATGAGACACCAGGAGCTCTGGCTGCATTCCAGGGCAGATGGTAAGCCACTGCGCACTAGCTTCCTGCCGTAACACATGCCGATGATCCACGGAGAGCCTTCCAGCTCCACCTCCCAGCAGTGCTCACCTTCTGAGAAGCTCTGGGTACTGAGGACCTGAAAGAAGCTGGTGAACCTCTGCGAGCAGGATGGGTAGGGCTGTTTTGCAGCACTGTAAGTGACAGTCTTCAAGTCTTCAGAGAGGAGGAGGTTAGGATGGGCTGTTTCCGGGTCAAAGGTCACCTCTGATGGGTTGAGCGTGTTCCGAAGGGAGCGCTGAATCTCTCCAAGTCTGTCTTTCAGCTCACTGCTCATGTTGTCCAGCTTGGAACAAGCCTGCGTGGGGTTGACTTTTGCACCGACCAACTCTTCGTCTTCTCCCAGCGGCTTGGCCAGTAGATCCATGATGCTCGGCTGCAGACTTTCAAACTGGTCCCTGAATTCCCTCTCATCCTCTTCCGTGAGAAGAGATTCAGCTGTGAGCCCAGCATGCCTGAGCTGTTTCACCAGCTCAGACGTCTGAATAACACGAGCGCGTACGAGAGCCTCACCTGGACCCAACTCCTCCTCTATCATCTGAGTCACCTTCTCAGCAAAGTCCTGAACCAAGTCTTTGATCTGCGCCAAACGTTTAGACGTGGTCTCTCTCAACTGGGAGTTAGCCGTGGCCACTCCACTTTCCCATTCCTCTTGTTTCCTCAGGACACCTTCTGCCGACTCTAACTTGAGGTTTAGCTCTGTGACCTGAGATGCCAGTTTAAACTTGGGCTCATTCATTTCTCTCTTTTGGCCATTTCCCTCATCCAGATGAAACGGGTGCTCTTCAGACACCGATCCAATTCTAAAGCCCTGCTTTGCCTTGCATCCATCGCCTCCCTCTCCACTCTGTCCAGCTGTTTCCACATCCTGCTGATGTTTAGTTTCTGATTCGTTGTGATTCTTCTTGACATCAGGAGGTTCTCCAGCTAAGGCTTTCCCTGCACTGGCTTTGTAGGTCTCCACGATGCTGCGCATTTTGAAACTCTTCACCGGGTCTGTGGCCCTGTGGTACTCAGCCTGACATTCTGGGCAGCTGTATCGGTCCACACCTTCTCCCATGGTCTCAAGGCACCCAAAGCAGTAGATGTGACCACAGGGGAGAGAAGCAGGCTCGGAGAACAGCTGGAGGCATATGGGGCATGTCAGCTCCAGCTCCAAGGCTTCAGAATGAGCCTCTGTAGAAATGTTTGCTTTGTCCTCATATAAAGACATGGTAGGTGCTGGAAACCTGCTGAAACACAAAACAAATGAGACTTGAACATCAACAGGGATTAAGTGGACCTTGTATTGACTATATTTACCTTTTTAGAGAATAATTCCTGCTTTTTTTATTTTATTTTATTTTTATTCAAAACATGCTTCACCGTGGAGAAATGAAAATCTAAAGAAACTAAAGAGAAATTGCAGGGTTGCAGAGCGGAGATGGAGAAAGAACAAAACAACTATAAATCATCAAATATATACAGAGCTGATTAAATCATATAATAACGCAGTGAGAAATTCAAGACATGCACACCTTTCCAAACTCATTCTAGACAATAAACACAATTCCAGAATACTTTTTTCCACCATAAACAACATTTTAAACCGTACCTCCATTCACCTCAGAAAACACCCTCAAATGCACTCTGTGAGGAGTTTGCAGCCCACTTCAGAGGGAAGGTAGACACCATCAGAAGGAATATTTTATCCTCCATAAGTAATAAGGTCTTAGATCAATCTGAATGTGTGTCTATACCAGAGGAAACACTGGACAGCTTTGTCCTTGTAGAAGCTGAGACTCTTGATAAAGTTTTCTCCTCAGTGAGACCCACCGCATGTGTTCTGGACCCAATTCCAACTTCGTTCTTTAAACAATTTTATGGATCTTCTAGTGATGAGATTTTAACCCTGATGAATTGCTCCCTTCAGACGGGGGTCTTTCCTGCTGCCTTTAAAAGGGCGGTGGTGAGGCCCCTGTTGAAGAAGAGCAATTTAGATTTGAATGAATTAAACAATTATCGACCGATATCTAACTTACCATTTTTAAGCAAAATTTTAGAAAAGTTGGTTTTAAATCAACTAAATGATTTTATAAACACTCATAATGTCCTAGAGAAATTTTAGTCTGGTTTTAGGGTGAACCACAGCATCGAGACAGCCCTTCTGAAGATTTTAAATGATTTTAGAGTAAATTATGATAAACGGAAGTTGACGGTGTTGGTTCTACTGGATCTAAGTGCTGCCTTCGATACGGTAGACCACACTATTCTTTTAACTCGTTTAACACAGATTGGCCTCTCTGGTGCTGTACATAGATGGTTCACATCCTACCTCACAGACAGGACTTTCATGGTGAGTTTGGATACCTGTTCCTCTAGGGTCCATGGGATTACATGTGGTGTGCCCCAGGGTTCAATTTTAGGCCCAGTGCTTTTTAATCTTTATATGCTCCCTCTTGGCGGAGTCATCAGGAGACACGGGGTTAACTTTCACAGTTATGCTGATGATACACAGTTGTACATCTCCATGTCTCCTGATGACTCTTGGTCATTGGATGCACTTTTTAACTGTATTTTAGACATTAAATCCTGGATGGCAGAGAACTTTCTCCAGCTCAACCAGGACAAAACTGAAGTTTTAGTCATTGGTCCTGAGGCCCAGAGAGAGAAGCTTTTACCAAAATTACAATCTCTGTCCTTTAATCCATCTGAACAAGTGAAGAACCTGGGTGTCATCTTTGACTCTGTGCTGACTTTTATCCCGCACATTAAAAATATCACAAAAATATGTTTTTATCATCTAAAGAACATCACCAGAGTCCGCCCCATTCTCTCTCGGGCCAATACGGAGATGCTGATGCATGCTTTTATCACCAGTAGGATAGACTACTGTAATGCCCTGCTTTCTGGTCTTCCTAAAAAGAGCATCTCAGGCTTACAACTTCTACAAAATTTGGCAGCATGTGTCCTGATGAAGACCAGGAGGCGGGAGCATATTACACCAGTTTTAGAATCATTGCATTGGCTCCCCGTATGTTTCAGGATCAATTTTATGGTTCTTCTAATGGTTTTTAAGTGTCTTAATGGTCTTGGGCCTTCTTATCTCTCAGAACTGTTTTTACCATATGAACCCTCACAGCCTCTGCACTCCTCTGGCAGGCGTCTCCTGGTCATCCCTAAAGTCAGGGCACACACTCACGGCAAGGCGTCCTTCTAGTGTTATGGCCCTCGCCTCTGGAACGAGCTACCAAAGGGCCTCAGGGCCGCAGAGAACGTTCATGTTTTTGTAAAGCACTTTGAGTAGCACTTTGTTTGAAAAGCACTTTATAAATAAATCTGATTGACTGATTTTTATTTAGGTTTTGAATTGTTCGTGTGTTAGATTTGTCGTTTACTGTGATCTAGCTGCTGTTGTAAAGAAAGTCTGGTAAGAAAATACTACTTTTTTAAAGTGTTTTGTCAAGATAATAGGTCAGAATAACAAATTTGGAAAGTGTAATTGGAATTTTAGATTTGCTTTTTTTAATCCAGCTGTGACAGAGAAAATATCCAAGAGCTTAGTAACAAAAAACATCATCATAATGACGAAGCACACACCACAAGGAGGCGTTGTTCCAAAACTTCAGTAAAGTTAGCAAGATATCCACAGATTCGACTTTTGCGGCTCAATACCTTCTGAACAGAGGGGTATTTAGAAAGATAGCATACCTCTTTGGTATCGCGGCAAGGTAGTGAACAAGCTACAACTTAGTTTCTTAAAAATAAAAAAACGCTCTCTATCGTGCTCTGCTCCCGACGCGTACATTGATCTCTATGGGCCGACGGAGCAAAACGAGCGCTCAGGGACCGTCAGCAAATAATCACACCAGAAACGTTTGGTGATAAACTATGTGAAAAAGTCCACAATTACACACTGCAGTGTGACCAAATTCACTAAATACAACACTGCACACACACTGATCACACAACACTATTTAGTTTAATCCAGGTATACAGTTTAGATTTAGTGTGAAACTTTTAATAATATAAATTCCAAAAGTTCCTCCATTTGAAACTATAGTGACACCAAATTCACACAGAAAATCTGTCTGTGTCTGTATTTCATGAGGAAACATTTATGTAACAATGAATGCTGAGGAGACATGTCAGCAATTAATTTAAGGTATTTAAACATAGTCTCTTTAAATCTGAAATATTCTCGCTAATGTGGCAAATTATTTGTTTATCTTGCTTTTACTTTGAAATTACAATGGTTTTAAAATTAACAAAAATTAAGAGATGCATTTTTTCTAAAAAGTACAGCAGGTACGTGTTGATCAGCATGCATGATTTTGTGTCAACAGAGTTTGCCGTCTAGGAGCTATTAAAATTACAAAACTTTAAAAATTCACAAAAAATCTGAGAATTATTTCCCCCCCAAAATAAAGGTTCTAGTATGTAGAGCAGAATAGGTGTTGACCAGCAGGCATGATTTTGTGTCAACAGAGTTTACAGTGTAGGAGATATTGAAATAAGAACATTTTAAAAAATTCACCAAAATTGAGAGAAGTATTTTTTCCTAAAAGTAAAGGTAGTAATATGTAGAGCAGCTAAGTATTGACCAGCACGCATGACTTTGTGTCAAAAGAGTTTACAGTGTTGGCGCTACTGAAATAAGATAACTTAAAAAATTCACAAAAAAATCAGAGAAGTGTTTTTTCCTAAAAGTAAAGGCTGTAGTGTGTAAAGGAGCCAAGTATTGACCAGCACGCATGACTTTTTGCCAACAGAGTTTACAGTGTATGAGCAATTGAATTTAGAAAACTTAAAAAAAAAATTCACAAAAAATCAGAGAAGTATTTTTTTCCTCAAAATTAATGTTGTAGTATGTAGAGCAGCTAGACCAGAACGCATGATTTTGTGTCAACAGAGTTTACAGTGTAGGAGCATTTGAAATCTCTTAGTTTGAAAGACTTCACCAAAATCAGAGATGTACAAAAACATAAATAAAAGGTGCAGACTGTAGATGATATAAGTGCTAATTATTTGGCATTATTTTTGTGTCAATAACATCTTCAATGTAGGAAATATAGATAATTATAAGGTGTAAATAATAACTTTATCCAATAATAATGTGCTGTGTGATTTTGGTGTCAATACATTTTAAAATGGAGTAGATATCAAAATTAAAAAACTTTGAAAAATTTAAATACAAAAAAAAAATAAAATAAAATAAAATAAAACGTGTTACTGGATTACAATACCACTGTAGGATGAACAACTTGTGTGTAGTGTTAAATTTTAAGAATTTGGTGACACTGCAGTCAGTGTACAGGGGTGGTGTTCTTTAATATTTGATCAAGAGCTGTTTCTGGTTAGTCTATTTTTAGATGGTCCCTGGGCGCTCGCGGCAGGTTCGTGGTCTCATAGAGCACAATTTAGCTCGTCGGGAGCTGAGGACGGTGTTTTTTGAAAGAAACGAGGTTGTAGCTTGTTCACTACCTTGCCACGATACCAAAGAGGTATGTTATGTTTCTAAACATCCATCTACTCAGAAGGTATTGAGCCGCAAAAGTCGAATCTGTGAATATCTTGCTAACTTTACTGAAGTTGTTCACAAACCAGCTGGCTTTGACTCGTAATTTTACCAGACCATGCACTGTGCAGGAGATAACTAGAGAAGATGGAAGATTGAAGAAAACGGAATTATTCTGCGTCATTTGGCCGTGCGTAAGCGTCATTCCCCTGATGGTTAAGTTTCGATTTCCGGGGAACGCGTGCCCAGACAGACGCACCTGAGTACAGGTTAACAACGCGTTAATAAAGCCGATCCATGTTGTAGAAAGTTCTGTTTCACTGCTTTCATCTGTTACACTTAATCGGTCTTTGCGCTTTTATGAAGTTCCCGCGGCATATCGCATCATGTTGTTTGCGCCATTTGGGCACGACGCACGTGAGCACTAAATTAACGCGTTTTGATTGATTACAAACAAAATAAAATAAGAAGAAACTCTTACCTGCTGCCACAGGACTCTTGTGTTCACTCTTCCTGATTGAGGTAAAGTCAACAAGACGCACTGACGCAGATCTGCAACATACCCCCCCCCCCCCCCCCCCAACAAGACGAGCCGCATGTTTCTACCTGACATCTGACAATCCTACATTTACAACTCAAGCTTTGCTGTGTTCTGATGAAACCTTTATTTTTGATGATGTCCTCACATTTCTTGCTTGACTGATACTAATAAAACTAAAGCGCGCGTACACACTCGCGCGCACCTCTGTAAAGATCAACATTTAAAAGTTTTCTTTCTTTTTGAAGTACCTAACTAGACAAAAACTATAAAATACCCGTAAAACTACAGATATGTTTAAATATAAAGCTGAACATAATGCTTGGCTAGAAAAAGCTAATTGTTTTACATTGATTTAATGTTTATTTCTACACCTTTAAACAAGGTTAGAATAAAACCCAGACCAACATTAGCGTTTATACACTTTTTTTTATCATCCTGGGTCGTTTCATATTCTTCTTTTGTAGACTTCCCTCATCTCCTCAATTAGAAACAAAAGGAAAATTCCTATTTTTAATTATCTCAAAAATAACTTTATAATTTTGCTCCCAAACTAAACATCAGCCAAATAAAGACAGTTAAAATTCAGGCTGGGGCCTACCATTTATAGTTGTTTATTAGGAAAATGGGCTCATTTCAGGTAAAACAAACAAACAAACAAAAAAATACACCAAAAAACCAATTAATCTTTCTTTATTGCTATTAGAAAGAAGTGTATACATTCTAGAAACAAGTAAATAACAAATTTAAAACCAAACCAAATGTGGCAAATGTTATCTGAAATATTTTGTATTTTTTGACATTCGGTTTATGACATAAAAAATTATCAGCCTAGTGACAAAAAACATGAATAAATAATAAATAGAACCATAAAGACAAAGATCTAACAAAAAATCACTTAAAAGTTCCTCTTTCACACCTGGAATAAAACTCACTGCTCGTTCATCCTCTTATATTTGGCGCCAGACTAACATGTTCAGTGTAGAATCATGTCATCAGATTCAGCAGTCTTTGTACAATAAAGGCGATATTGGCTGTATTTGCCTTCTAAAATTGAGTCAGCCTCTTTTCCACACCTCTAAATAATTTGCATTTAAGAGTTAAATGAGTTTAAGAACACTTGAATTTAAAAAACTAATGAGAACCAAGAGAAGCAAACTCATTTACTTAGTGCTGCTCATGGCCAAACAGCCCAAAAAACAATCTAAATACATGCTAATATGTCTTTAAACTACATTTAGTACATGGAGCTATAAATACCATTTCATAAACACACACACACACACACACACACACACACACACACACACACACACACACACACACACACACACACACACACACACACACACACACACACACACACACCTCTGATTCACTTATGAAGATGATTAAAGGCAGCCAGACTGGCTAAAATCTGCAAAGTCCTAATTTGTGTTTAAGTATGGAGCGTGTCTACAGCAGTGTGGTCATGTCCAGCTCTGGCAGAGGCTCCTTCCAGTAGGAGAAGCTGCTGAACTCAGGACAGACGAGCACAGAAGGAGCATTGCTCTCAGCAGAGCGCACGGGGAAGAAATGTTCCACTAACTCACTGAGGTGGCTGTACCTGCAAAACACACACACACACTCGATGTGATGCGTGATTTCACGAACACATAAAATACACGATTACATCCTGATTGATAGCAAATGTTTTAATTTCTAGGACTAAAAATTGATACATTTTGTGTTATTTAGATCTGATTATTCATTGTCACATGAAGTTGGAGCATCTCTTATTCCAGGGGTGTCAAACTCAAACTCACACGGGGCCGAAATGAAACTCTGGGACGGAGTCGAGGGCCAAACTTAATATTTTTGAAAAAGTGACGGCAAATTTGCACATTTTCTTTATCAACATATATGCAATTTTGAACCTTTAAATTTGGAAACAAACTTATTTCTGCATTAACACTGAATGTGGAATAACCAAATGACACACGAGCAAGTCAGTTTTAAATAAAAGGCATCAGTGGTATTCATTACTTGTGGTATAATCAGCATTTTTTAAATCTATTCAGGATTTATGTTTTCTTGTTTATTCATTTTTCTTAATCTTTATTCTCCTTTTTTCTCCTGTAATAAGTGTCATCGCTGCTGTGACATCTAGCTTTCCCCACTGAGGAACAATAAAGGGATTTTCTATTCATCTATCTGCAGCCTTTCCACTTCCTGTTTACTGTAGGTTAAATCTTTTCTCACGGGCCAACAACAAAATAAAAATATCATTTTATCTTAAATGAAAATGCAACATCTCACCTGTTAACTTTCATGTTTTGGAGCAGAAAAAGAGCATAAAACCAACATATTTAAAGCTCAGTTTGCTCCACTGGTTTACTGTGATGCTCACCTGTTCCAGCCAGATACCTGCATCATGGGGTTGAGCTGAGCTGAGGAGGAGACTCCTGTTGTTTTGTTCATCTTCATCATAATAATGACAACATTAGATGACAACAGGTGCTCACATAGGTTTGTGCTGCTGAACATGTCTGAGCAACTTTACCACGTTGTTGTGTGTCGGGGAGGAAACACAACGACAGAGCGTGGTTTGAGCGTGTCACTGCTCGCTGGAGTTATATCAGCTCTGTCTGGACGTTAGCTGGAAAATTTTCTCTTTCAGTCGTGAACACATTACTGAGCGGCTAGAATCTCAGTTTCTGGGCTTCAACGTCAGAAAATAGCTGAGTGAACTCGGCGCTGAGTGAGAGGAGTGTTTAGTTTGTCCGAGACAGCGGAGCTGCAGACACCGGCAGCAGGCGCGGGAAAAAACACAAAGGAGGGGGCGCGTCGGCTCCGCGCTAACGCCACAAAGCATCATGGGAGTTGAAGTCTTTGCGGTAAAATCGGCCAGCGGGCCAGTTTTAATATATTTTTGATATTTATCTCGCGGGCCACATAAAAATGCTCCATGGGCCGCATCTGGCCCACCGGTCTTGTGTCTGACACAAGTGACTTATTCCTTTTAGACTCAAGTTATTGAGCTTTTTATGCTAATTATAAGTAAAAAAAAAACATCCAGCTTTTCTTTGCAGGTGCTGTACTTACGTGGACTTGTTGCCTTTAGCCATCTCCTGGATGAGTTCTCCTTTTGGGTTGACAGTGAATATTCTGGCTTCAGAAACTCCGACCTGCTTGTAGGCATAAGCATCCTGAAAGGAGAGGCTGGTATTCAGAAGAGCGTCGCTGAAATCCACCCAGCTTTTTTGGAACATATGGAATACTCTTTATTTCTCTTACACCTTATATTTGGTCTAAATAGATTTTCCTAAGAATGCACTACAGGATGAGTCAGGCCAGAGTTTCCTAAGATAAATTAAAATCCTGTACAAGCGAGTTTATTCACTGCAAACGCATTCCATTTTGTTACCTAACAAGGTAATAAAAGCACTAAAAAGCAGGTTGAGTTTGTTTGTTTAAGTTAGAAGGAAGTCTCTGGTGGAATTAAGAGAACGCCCCGTAATCGGAAGGTTGCAAATTTGAGCCCGACTCAGTCTGTCGCTGGTGTTGTGTCCTTGGGCAAGACACGTATCCCACCTTGCCTGCCGAAGGTGGTCGGAGGGACCGGTGGCGCCTGTGTACGGACCAGGGCAGCTGTGGCTATAATGTAGCTCATCACCACCAGGGTGTGAATGTGTGTGAATGACTGATTGTGTTGTAAAGCACCTTGGGGGGTTCCAGGACACTAGAAAGTGCTATATCAAATACATAATGTCGGAATATCAGCTGGTGGCTCTAAATGTGGCCAACCCCACATCTGGATCATTCCTTTCCTAGATGGCCAAACGTCTGTCCTTTAAACAGATGTGGCAATAACATGGTCTCGCCTTAGTAGGAGCCTTAGAAGCATTTAGTGCTTTGTAGAAATATAACCAAAAGCATCTTCTACATTTGTGTTAGAGAATACAATTACAGCTATTTCTAATTTAGCACCTGGGAATTCTGAATGTTCTACTTTGGCTCCTCCATTACCAGGAGCCATTTGGGGGCGGAGCTTACATTGGTCCTGTTGCCAAAGGCGGCGTAGAACGGTTGTCTGTGTGTGTTGAACAAATCTCTGATGTCACTCAGACAGGCGACCTTAAAAACCTCCGGCTTCTTTTCAATCACCTCTCTGAAGAGGACAGAAGAGTTCATCATCAAAAAGCACGTTAGACCAAAGGGAGAACGTTTAAAAGGAAACAAAACTCCTCAAATAAATCTCATCTAAAGCAACCTCAGAAGAACATTTGAATAGTTAGCCTTCAGCAGCCCTTTGGATCAAGTATTGTTTTAACTTTTAGGTTTTGAAGCAGCCATTTAATGAAGACGGTAGAAAGTTCACTTAGAAGAGGGCCGAAGGAATGGGTTAGAGGTTTTTTGTAACCTGTGGAGTGCTGAAAAGAGGCTGCTGGGAGCCAATAGGACGGGGCCTTTAGGAAGGACGATGCCCTGGTCGTTAACCCACTGCAGGTAGCCTTTAGTGATGGCGGCCATACCGATGGCCCTCGCTGAGCAATACAGGAACTTGTAGCCATTTCTGTAAATAAAATCATCAAAAACAATATAGGTCACATGACTCATTAAGCTCCTGAACTACTTTAAAGGTAATTTTAAAGCAACTTAATCCGATTTCTTATTTTTTTTTAAACGATGATTTTATCTGGTTTAAGTAGGAACATTTAAACGAATAGGAACACCACGTACTGGTGTATTTTGTGGTACAGTTTTGCAATTCCCTTGTGTGTCCAGTCCTTTCCAAACTGTGGCAGAATATGACCCAAAGCATCAGACCTGCGGCAGACAGATTCATTCATTTTATCTACCCAAAGTTAAATCAGGAGGTGTTAATCCATAAATAAACTAGTTTTACTTGGTAATGGTGCCATCGATGTCTGATATGATGACACGGTCGTTCCAGCTCCACAGGTAGATGGCAGCCTCACAGCGACAGGTGCCCTGGTACTGCGTGGTCACACTAAACACCACTTTATTGGCTCCTTCGTGCAGATTTAGACTCTCCTGGTAAAGACGGAAAACAGTGAAGTGCATGCATACGTGTTCTGGGGACAGATTTACTCTGACCTCTCACGATCTGTTTAGAAGTCAGACGTAGAGATTTGCGGTACAGCTGGCTGATGGTCTGAGTCACGGCGACGGTTTCTGTGGAAAGGCTGTGAGGAATGACCGCTTTTCGGCCGAGTCCTGCTGCCTCATCGCTGTAAACGTCGTCCAGCGTGGCTCTGGGGGGGAAGCATCAGATTATACAAATACTTTGGGTTATTTTTCTCCCTCACAGGGAATTCTTATTGGTATGAAACGAACGTAAACGTTTTCCTTCCACTTATTTCAGTAACAGTAAAAGAAAACCATACAAAGGCACTAAAGCCTGATTTATGCTTCTCCGTCTGTGTCAGCGCGGAGACACGCAACGCCATTATCCGTCCTTGCGTAGGGCACGCAAGTACGTACGGAGTCGAGCCCACTTTTTTAAACATCCGTCGAACGAGACTGATACGCAAGCTTGTGATTGGTCAGAATACCGCTGCTGTTTACAGCGCCGCCATTGCAAAGAGAGCCGAGGATAACTAGCGGCAGACACGGAGAAGCTTGAAGAATACCTCGCGAAAAAACTCTAAAAATATGAACGTTTAATTCTCCCGTGACTGGAGGAGTGAAAAGATGCGCAGCAAGCGTTTTATTTGTGGACGGAAATGACCGGAAACGTGGGTTTAGAGGTGGGGAGCGCATGAAGAGGTGGGAGAATGAGAGACAAATACGTCCGTGTTAAAAGTCTCTTATATACACAAAAACACAATATAAACACACTATCTTGGACCGATACATGACAGGATACCACAGAACAGCGCTACGCCCTCTGTTGTCCTGCGGGGGAATTGCTTTGCAACACTCTCCAGGAGACGGAGATGTATGAGAGCAAAATGCTTCCGTCAATCCGTGCGTGTCTGTCCCTTGCGGAGCTGACGGAGAAGCATAAACCAGGCTTAAGTGGAACAGCAGGACTTCCTGTAATCGTCCCAACTAAACACAGCACGGCACCTTTAACTAAACTGTCGGGTAATGAGGTGACTCACGTAACAGTGGAGGAAACACTGGCTAGGGCTTCTTCTGGCTCCTCTTTTGAGAGTTTTTGCTACAAAAAGAAAGAGAGGAGTTGTCATCAGCACTTAAAACAGTCTGTTACTTTGATTGCTCTACTAGCCATGCCACACCCGGACAGGTGATTACTGTTGCCAGAACATGCAGGCTCAAACACGCAACACTTCCTTCCTTCACCACCTGAGGATCAGCAGCTACCTGGTTGCTTTCCGAGTCTCTTCGTCTCCAGGAGAACCACCAGCGTCCGGACCTTTTGGACATCTTGTCCTTCACCAGGCGTTCTACTGTACTCTGTGTGACAGGGAGAATTAAAGAAGTTTAACGTTCTTTAAAACGTCATTTGAAAAAATAACTCAGCACACAGCTCATTGTTTTGTAATTATAATTTAGATCTTAAGAAAAAATACCTTAGGTAGGTTTTTCTGGAAAGCGGTCATCGACAAGATCATGGGAGCGGCCACTGCCCAGTTGTAATAGCTGCGATGAGTTAGAATGGACTGACTAATAAACTCAGATTTAAACTAAAAGTTTTCAAGAGAGCATTTGTGATTGAATGGTGGTTTTCTGAATAAACAACAAATGTTCCTAAATCATACTTAGAATTGATGCAAATGACGAGACTTGGATCCTCCATGATTCCTGGATTGGAGACAAAATCCTGGTACGTCACGAGGTGCTCCTTAAACGTTTCTGGAAGTTTAAGAAGGAACAGAAAAGCGCTGAATTCAGCAATAAACGAGTTCATACCGAGTTACAAAATTACACAGAGGCTTCCGGGGATCCCAGTGAGAACAGGGGGTGTCTATTTTGCACTGGCCCCCAAAATGCCTTGAAACGGCCCTGGATGTGGGACTGAGTTTTGAAGGTGATCTAAACTGTATCAAATATATTAATATTGTACTTATAAATTATTGCTTCATAAAGGTAAAAATGTGCAGTAGGAGAAGTCTACCTTCATTTTAATTTTTAAGAACTTTGTTTTGTTTGCTTGTTTTTTATTTGACTGATTTACTATCCTGTCTGTCTCATCTTCCTGCATTTAATCTCAGTCTTCCAAAAACACCTCTGCCCGACTTGAACTAGGCAGCCCAGACCAGATGGATCTACCGACTGCAAAATCAGGAGCACGGGTGATGAGCTCCGCAGCTGCGGTACAATCAAGACAAAAAGTACCAGAGAATATGAGCGGACATGAACGATAGTGTTTACCTATAAGGTTTTGGTGGCACCACTTTGAGAATGTAACTGTGGCCGTGCGCAGGACGCAGCTACCTGGAGCGCATCATCAACCAGCGCTCTGCCACTCTCTGTGCGCTCCACTCAAAAGAATCCCTGCTACGTTGAGAATTCGTATATGTAATGTAATACAGGTAGAAACAAGATCGGGCTTTTTTCGGGTTCCCCTGTGTGTGTACACTTGGGGCTTCTGGGGGAGCCCGTCACCCCTTCAGTTGAGCTGTGCTCCCCTTAGCTCTCCTGGTTCATACCTTTAGTGATCTGGCTGGTGTCTCCCTCCTTCCCACAGAGGGACATGCTGATGTCAATGTTGTAGCAGGTGGAATCGGACAGGTATTCGGTGCCGCTGTCCATCGCTGCGCTGCCCACCGACTGAGGAGACTGGCTGCCCGAGCCAGAGCACAGATCCGCACCCTGATGGAGCGCTGCCTCTCTGCAATCACAACAAACCATCTAAGTTCAACTTTATTCACCTCAGAGACACTGGAGTTATTTATCCTTATGGGACTTTCTGAGCTCATGTCACAAGAAGAGAGATTTTTAACTGCAGCCTGTGTTTTGTTAGAAGGTGAATTCTTACGCTTTGGGGAAATAAAGAGCAGCCACCTCAGGCTCCAGTGTGGTCAGATCATCCAGGTAAATGTCCGTGGGTCCTAGATGCTGGTTTCGTTTACCTGCATCCATTTCAGCCATGTAAATAAAGACCCAAGAACATTTCTCAATATTCAACCAGAAGCTAGTAAAGAATACATCGAATAAATAGTAAACATAAAGCAATGCTTGACCTTTTTTCTTGTCCTGTTGTCTGGAGGATGCATCAGCGGAGGTTGCTGAGCTGACTCCAGTGTCTCTCCCTTCGGCCTGCGCAGGATGTTTCTCAGAGGGTGGACCTCCTGCTGGACTGTCCTCGTCCCTTTCCTCTGAACAGTGATCAGTGTCGCCTTCACAAACAGGAGGATCGTTAGTAGACCCCCAGTCCTGATGTGGCAAACTCTTCTGATCTGACAGATCCCTACCTGTCTCTAGGACTCTGTGGTCACCGTTTTCTTGTACGACCCGTTTAGGATCAGTGTTTGGTTTGGTTTCAGTGTTCACACTGTTATCATTTCTCTGGCTAACTGAATCAATCACAGAACAAACATGCTCAGTAGTGTTGCTTATTAAATTAGGAGACAAGTCTCTTTTCTCCTCCTGTCCCCGAATACATTCAAGTGACTCAAATGAATCCAAGTCCCCGGATGAGACACAAGACAGGAAAAGGTCCCTTTGGGTAGAAAGGCCACCACGAGAGTTCTTCTCCCAGGAGAAGGCACTGGTTCGGATGGAGAGGTTGTCCAACGTCCTCGGCTGTGGTTTCACAACAGTTACGCTTCCCGCCCGTCCACAGCTGATCGCAGAGTCACAGTCCAAGTCAAAGGATTCCTGCCTCTCAATGGTGCGGAAATGAGAAACGCCTGCAGGAGGAATGACCTGCAGGTCTGCTGGAGTCTTCTCTGGCTGACGAAGCTGTGAGAACAAGGACAGACCATCACTATAGAGCACAGATAGGCTCTAAAAATCACTCGCGGGTCTCCCAGTGTGATCGTACCTGAGGAAAGCCCCCCCAGTTCCACTGCATCTGAGGCCCAGAGGACTCCGGGGATTTAAGCAGAAGCTCAGAGTCACTTTTAGGGGAATCGGGGCGGCTGTAGAACACGCTGCTGAGGAGGTGGCACGCACAAACACGCGCACACAATCAGCTCAGAATGAAAACAAATACGGTACTTTATTTTAACCAAACATGGATCATTTCTTACTTTTCTGTGGGCGACTGCTCTCCATCAGAATATGGATGAGCATCTTTGGTCTGTGCAGCGCCTGGCTCCTCAGACATTGAGTAATACACTGATTTACTTTAAAATGCAAACACAGAAAGAACTTTTCAACTTTAACTCCAAAACAGTGGGGGAAAAAAACAATCACTTCCTATTTAAGGGTGCATTTAAAGTTAGATAACGGAGTTAATACATGACTCTTACCTAAAATAAATACAAGATTACTGGAAATATTTAAAGATTAACAGCCTATTAATAATTATTTCACCTTTCTCAAAAAGAAGATCTGACCTGATTTGCAGCACTGTGGACAGCTCCTCTGATCCGGGACTGTCCCACAGAGCCAGATCAGCTTCTCTCTCACTCTCCTTCTCTCTCTCCTCAGACGAGGAGCTGACCTCCTCCCTCAGGTGGGGATCCGAACGCACACGTTTACGCCGACGCTTCTTCCTGCGGGCGCCAGATCCGGTCCCTAGGAGCCCCTCTGGTGTCTCCTCAACTTTCTCAGGGGCCTCTTGAGGAATCGGGGAGGTGCACAGATATGCTGGGACCTGACACAACAAATGCACAACAAACAGAAACATGCAAAAAGAAATCGTTAAGGCATAACATCTGACTATTAACAAGTTTTGTCCAGCTTACCTCCATATTTTCATTTTGCTCCACAAAAAAAGCCTCTCCATTGTCTCCAAGCTTCATGTGCAGGTCGACCGGCTCTCCGTTGATTTCAATGTCCACCTAAAAATCAGTGTTTGATTTACTAGATGTAGAAAAAAGCACAAAAGTGTTAAATAAGATGGAAACACTGACAACTTTCTCCCTGGAACGCAGCACGCCGAGTTTCCCAAAGCGGACATGAAAGGGGGAGCACTGGAAAGACCCGTCGGGCTGCCGCACCACGATGACGTCGATCCCTCCGGTGAGAGTGGCGGGGTTAAGGCCGCGGTACAGCTCCTTTACCGTCACGAACACGGTCTCTGCCAGCTGGCCCACAATATTCATGGTTTGGGACTAGAAAAAAAAAGATGTTAAATTAAGAAAAAAAAAAGCGAGAAACGTTTTTTAACCTCAATTTTCCCCCACCGAAGTAAAAAATGTAAGTTAGCTGAAAGGACTTTAGAATAAAACAGGTGTGTAATAAAGCATATTATGGCTTTAAAGAATACAAAGTACTTCCCAGGTGTTGAGTTGAAGTAGGTTTAATTGTGTTGCTTGTTAATAAAAAGATTCAAATATTGGCAGAAGCGTCCAACCTTTTCTACCAAAGTTATGTCCAAAACAGGACGTCTTCATGTCTGACTGAGAAGCTTCCAGAGGTCTGAGTGAATCATACCGACCTTTGGAATAAGATGTTGAATGATTAAAGGGCTAAAGGTCAACTAGAAGAGAGTCAGATGAGATCTATTGAACAGTTCTGCATGTTTGATACTGCAGGACATAAAAAAAGGCACAGTACTTTAGGTTTATCCTGGTGAAGAGGGTGAAGTTCTAGTGTACACAGACATCATGTAAACTAACTGTTTACATTTAGGGAGTGGAAAGCTAGTCTGTTTTAAAAGCATTTGCATGACATAGGTTTTTAGGGCTGGCTGGACCACAGGCCGCTCCAGAAAGTAGAGCGAGATCAACAGTTTGCTTCTGAAGGGCGTAGAAACTGAACCTGCTGGCTTATGTGTGGATTCATGTTAATACTCAACAGCTGTGACAATAACAGTTAATTTTGAGTGACACAAACCAGATGAGGAATACTAGTCCTCCCAAGATCCATCAAATTCTCTAAATGTCGAGTTTACCTAAATTACCCCCCACATCAGCAGCTTTTGTGCAGATTCCACCTAATTGGTGTCAAGTCTTACCCAGAGAGATGGAGGCAGATGTCCCCTCCTGACCACGGTGCGTTGCCCTGACCGCCTCTCTGCCATCAGCAACACTGCAAAGGGGTTTCTAACCCTACTAACTCACAAACTCTCTCTTGAATTGGCACCTCCATGTTCACCTGAGGGGAACCTCACAACTCCGTTCCCTAAAACGCTACGCCTCTGAAATCTGTATCAAAGCTACATTTGTCTCCAGATGTCAGGTCGTATTTTTGTCAGCCATGACACCCTTTGGGGCAAAGTTCCAAGATTGTAGATGACAGTTCTCTAGTCCTCTCTGCTCTGTGCTGGTGATCAAAATACAGTAATGTTTGAGAGCATCCTAGTATATTCAGTCACACACTGATGCATCCTCTATCTCACTCCAGCACATACACACCACCCTGCCACACTGAATCTATACTTCCCCTCTTTCAGGGCACATGACAGCCAGACTAGCAGTTTCTGAAAAGCTCAGACAGGCTTTTTAAACACACAGTTTCTGGTGATGACCACAGCTCTCTGGGTCATCAGAAATGAGGGGACTCTCCAGCCGCTTTGCTCCACCAGTGCTTGGACATCCAACATCATCCCACCTAATTTAGGAGGACGTCGAGCAAATAGCTTTAACATTTGGATGGATTTTACTGAAGTTACCTAAAACAGGAAAACTCTAGTAAATGGTAAGTCTCTGTATCAAATCGGGAGATGTGAAGAACTGAATGTACTAGAGATATAAAGCAGCTCTGTCATCTGTTGTGAAATACTTGAGTGATATCTGATTCTAACTGCAAAGCTGTAAAAACTGTAGAAAGAAACTTTTACAGCTGAAAATGTAGTAAAGATGTGAGAATAACTTCCAAAATCACAAGTTTTTACTTCACTTCATGTAAAAAATGCAAAAGACCAAACTTTGTTTACCATTTTAACCCAACTTCACATCAAACTGTACGTTGTAATCACTCTTTTAATTCACTTTAGTGCTTTCTTTCCCCTGCATGTTTTAGACATTTTTCAGCTCTAGGAGCGCTAAACTTATAAAATTTTACCAATTAAAACTACTTTTTACTGATCTGAATCAGTTAAGTGTTCGTCAGGCATCATTTAGTGCATTCAGACTCAACGCAGCTCTCATTAGCCAGATCTGAATATTACAGAATACATTTCACAATAATTCCCAATGGGTGCTGATACCGAGTAGGATTTAGCACAAGAACAAAACGCTGAATGAACGATAGCAACTTCCGCAACAGTTTAACGATACATTAAATTCAAATTATTTGTCCAGCTAATTAGGAACACCATTAAAACTCTTCTACTTACCAAACAGGTCAAGTTTAAGTTAGCAACTTAGTTTAGCAGCGAGCTCAGCTAGTGATGATTCACCCTCGCCTACATGTAAAAACTTGTGAAACGAGCTGAGGGCTCAGGCACAAATAGCCGATAAAACTCCGACACCTTCATTCACTTAAAGACGAGACACCTCTTTCAATGTAAAAAAAAAAGCCCTTATTTGTTCCCACAAAAGTGAAAAAATCGGGACAAAACCCATCTTTGGGATGCTTTTTCAGAAAGTTATTTTTTTCTAGTGTAGTGCGCATGCGCGATAATCGGTCGATCACTCTAATAGGCCAATCAGAAACTGGGTCAAAACAAAGTCCCGCCTACAAAATGCAACGTAAACAGTTCTGAAACGCATGGGACTGTGGGGTAATTAAACACTTTAAATTATAGAGTACATTTTAGAAAGTCACGTTAAAGACAGCTTTTACATTCCTGCTGCTTTTGTTATGTTCACAGTTTCTGTTGTTATTCGATTTGCACTCATTCTTATTTAATTTGCAGTTTATTCATGTTGTCACTCTGCAAATATTACGTAGTATCGTTCAAAATGCGTTATATTAAATTCAATCCTTCATTTAAACATAATATAATATAATATAATATAATATAATATAATATAATATAATATAATATAATATAATATTGGGAAAAAAATACAATCTTTCCATATTATCCATCCGTTTTCCTCCGGGTTCAGGTCGCGGGGGCTGCAGCCAGCACATATGGGCCCTACATGGGCAAGCCGCATAGATCCCACCAGGGTTTGTCCACAGTTTCCATGGTGGCCCCACAGGGATTTGCCCACAAATATTCTAAACTCCCTGAAAACCCATGTAGAGCCCATTAAAATCTATATGGGCAAAGATTTCTCTGGATAAACCCTGATACCCATACAGCTTTTCTATAGGTTCCATATGGAACCTATAAGCAAGAGAGGCCTAAACTTCCCTCCCTCAGGGGGAATTTCAAGGCGTTCCCTAGTCAGATTAGATAACAAACATAGTCCCTCCAGCATGCCCTGGGTCTCCGTTCAGGTCTCTCAGGTGGAAGTGCCTGGAAAACCTCATCAGGGAGGAGCCCAAGCCACCTCAACTGGCTCCTCTGGATGTGGAGGAGCAGCAGATTTACTTCAAGTCCCTCCATTATGACCTATGTACCTTCTCACCCTACATAATTCATTGTACATTATTTTGTTCTTTAGCATATTCTAGCATTTTAGGCCATTTAATTTAAGTTTTAGAGCATACAGCATACCCACCCCCAAATAAAAACAAGATCGGCTAACAGGCAGCTTAAGAATTGTTATGCCCGTGATGAAACTTTCTATTTTACAGACTTGCAAGGATCTTTTCTTTTAGTGATACTTTTGAATTATCCAATGCTTAGCCTAGATGTATTTCCCTCTAAAATGTACTTTAATGTACGTATAGATAACAAAAACAAAAAACATTCAAACAAAAATAAAATATTGTTATCTGCAACAATGGGTTCGAAAAATTCAAAGTGGTTGCCAATTTAGCCCAGCAGAGGGCGTCCCTGTCTTTTAAAAAATGTCAATAAACAGACACATTTCTTTTCTTTTAAATGTATCTTGTTTTTATTTTTGTCCCCAACATATCCTTGTTAAATATAAATGCTATTTTTTTTACAATAAACTCCATATTAATACGTCTCAAATAAAAGCACAAAACACGTTATATGTTTGTTCTTTTACTAAAAATAACAGAAAAGGTTGCAAGGACAAAAGGATCCATACATTTTACATGTTACTATTGTACACAGCGGGTGTTTAAAACCCAGATTTGTGATTAAAAATGTCAACTCGAACATTTTTTGGATGTGATATAAATAATCTAATATTCACTGAGCATGCACTGACCTAATTAGAAATGAATGAATAAATAAATAAATAAACCTGATCAGCAATTTGACAAATAAAAAAGCATTTCTGACAAAAAGTGTTTCTGACTGTAGTTTTTTTTTATCTTATTTTATATAATATGTTTAAATACTATATAAATTTAGCGCTTAGAGGATTAAAATAAGAAAAACAAACATTTCTTAGTTGCTTTTCAAATATTTTATCTGATCACAGCATCAGTGATGGCCAGCCTCACTGCCTATTTAAGGTTTGAGAAGGAAAACATGTTTAAACTTGCTCTGGATCTCCTCACAGCTTTCTCCCCTCCGTGCTTCCTCTGCACTCCACCATCCAGAGCCTCTGAAATGTTATGGCTCTTTTCTCTAAATAAGGCAGCCGTATCACAGTTCCTGTCATTTGGGCCTTTTCTCCAAACATCCAGAGCTGCGACTGTGGCATCAGCAGCAGCAGCAGCAGGAGCATGCACACTGTGCATTCCTTTGCCTTGTATGGACAAATGGCCTGTCCTGGGATGTCTCTATGGGACAGGCTGCTCTCCCTATTGGTTAGTTGAAGGAAGGAGGTGGGGCCCACTGGGGGGGAGTCTGATTCTTTAAGCAAACTTTCAGGAGGTTTCCTTTCCCACTCCTGTGACGGATCCAGACAAAAGGAGTTCGAAGGACTCCCCTGACATTTCTGCCTGAAGCCAAGGTGAGACTGCAAGCTCTTTTCATCACAAACTGACGATTCAGAGCGCCATAAAGCAAATTGCTGCTCGGTGTTGTGTTTTAGTGTTAATTCTGAGGAGAGGAAAAGAGTTGCAGCAGATTCTGGAGTTTTTTTTTCTCATTAGGAGAGACCTGGAGAGGAGATGTGCATGAACACACAAGCATGGATACTACGGCTGATTAATCTGAGGAATCTCTGAATACAGCTGAACCATTTAGTTCTTTCTATCTCTCTCTCTCTCACACACACACACACACACACCTCTGATGATGTCTTACACTGGCAATTTGAGCTCACACTCATCTTCTTTCTGTTTGTTCTTGGAATTCCTGACCGTTGGACTTTGAGGCTTGACTCTTGCAGAGTTTAACATACAAGATCTAAAGTTGGAGGTGACAGCCAGACGTGTTTGTGTGTGTGTGTGTGTTGTTTGTGTGTGTTGTGTGTTCCATCCATCCCCCTGTAGATGAAAGGGCCTACTGTGTGGTGGCCAGGAAACAAATCCCATTGTCAGCTCAAGCCAAGCTGGGACTCGTCAGCCACTCTCACTCATGTTGCTGATGTCAAAATGAGTTATTCTCAGCTGTTTTCTCATTTGTTGCTGATTTAATTCATTTATTTGTTGCAAAAGGTTTAAACTGTTGTCAAAATGAGACTCACTGATTTGGATTTTGTGCACTTTAAAAAAAATCTTAACATTATCACAACAAATCAATTCGCACGCACGCACGCACGCACGCACACACACACACACACACACACACACACACACACGCACACACACACACACACACACACACACACACACACACACACACACACACACACACACACACACACACACACACACACACACACACACACACACACACGCACACACGCACACACGCACACACACACACACACAGAGCAAAAGTGTGTTGCCCAGAAAGGCAGGAGAGGAAAGCATTAATCAGATGGAGTTCCTGAAACTCTTGAGATGCAGTCAGATGTTTTGTTCCCAGCAACTCAGAGCCAACAAACGGAACACACCTTCAAAACCTCATGGCTTTTGGCACCAGGAGGAGGTGATGCAGCCAAACAGTAGGCACATCATAATAAAGATTGATGCAGCTGGCTTGTGTGATGACACAAGACATGAACTCTGTGTTTGCATCACTTAAAAACAAGATTGTTCTTCCTGCATCCAGATCTGTAGTGTTTTATACTTTAGAAGGAGAGTTGAGCTGTCTGTCAGGATCCTGAGCTGACATTTGCATTATCAGTAAAACTTTGAATTCTTCCAAGGAGATAGAGCTGTGGTCATTTGTATCAACACGTGTGCTGCAAGAGGCTTTTATTCCACATGAGAAGATAAAATATAGATGGAAAACCTGACTTCACCTGCTTTTCTCTGCCTTTAGGAGTCATACAAACAATTATAAATATGCGTTTCTCCTGAGCAATAAATAAACATCAGTGTTGCGGACGTTTTGAGGAGATGTGTGATAAACAAGTTAGCATGGAGCTATTTATGAAACGTGTTAACACAAGTATGGAAAATCACTGTAATGGGGTGAGAAATGGGGTTTCACATGTTAGATGTAGGATGTTACATATTAAACCACAATTTTAAACTACTAAAAAATAATATTTAGCATAATAATAAGGAATGAAATGGCTAAAATAGTTTACCAGAATTATAAATTAAAGGGAGCCTTAAGTTTGATGGAAATATGAAAAGGAATGATTCTGTAATTGTTAGACATTTTTGGTGTTCTACATGGAAAGAAAATGGCTCAACAGCATAAAACCTTCAGCAAATTGTCCAGGATTAGAAATGCATTTTTGATATTTAGGCTTTATTCAGTGCTAAATCCTTACAAACAAGTCCAGTTTTAATTCCATTTGGGGGAATAAAGTGTTTCTTTTGAGGCTGAGAATAAAAATATATTTGAAGCATTCTTGTTAGAGTGAGGTTTTCAAACGTGCAGCTTCCACATCCTCCCAACTCCCATCAGGACATGATGTCATTCTTCTGTGTGGCTAACAGGCCTTATTCACCTGCTCCTTCCCACACAAACCAGTCAGTCCTCTGGGGTTCCACTAACACACACACACACACGCACGCACGCACACACGCAGAGGAGAGACAAAATCCTTGGAGATGTGAACATGATTGACGGGTCTAATCTGCACTAGAGACGTATCGTTGTCACACTCATCAGAGGGCATGACATTTATGGAGAAATAGATTCTCCAGGGGGGTTGACTGGAAAGATCCACCTGTAAGAGATGCTTATAAATATACAGAAATATGTGGAAACAGAAAATACTATTTTCTAACATCCAAAAAGCCTTCTTGAGACTTGACTTGGAAGGATCTCACAGCTAAATATATGGAAATCCTCCTTTTACAGCAGAGTGAATCACTGGCCTAGTTAAATCTTACCTGTTTTGTACGCAGGCACTCATCCAGCTGCCACCATGTCTAGCAAACGTGCCAAGGGAAAGACCACCAAGAAGAGGCCTCAGAGGGCCACCTCCAATGTCTTCGCCATGTTTGACCAGTCTCAGATCCAGGAGTTCAAGGAGGCGTTCAACATGATCGACCAGAACAGAGACGGCTTCATTGATAAGGAGGATCTGCACGACATGCTGGCTTCACTGGGTAAAAACCTAGACCTGAGCTTCCTAATCGTGTTCATGGTGGGGGTTTATTTATCACAGAAGAATACATCTGATCAGCAGTTGGTGCAGCAGTCCCAAATTAAAAGGTCTACAAATGGAAATTATTAGTATAATCCAACCTGCTGCTTCTGGGTGATTTTATTAGTTTTATTGCCAGGGAAGCATACCATAAGCCCACGTTGCACACATAACAGTGTAGCTCCTTCTCAGGTAAGAACCCCTCTGATGAATACCTGGAGGGGATGATGAGCGAAGCGCCAGGGCCCATTAACTTCACCATGTTCCTCACTATGTTTGGAGAGCGACTCAACGGGACGGACCCCGAGGACGTCATCCGCAACGCCTTCGCCTGCTTTGACGAGGAAGGGTCAGGTAAATCCATCTCAAAATTGTGCACACAGATTATTTAGGAGCTGTTGATTTGTTGTAATTTGGTGAGTGTTCTCCATTTCCAAAGGCGTGATCCACGAGGACCACTTGAGGGAGCTGCTGACTACCATGGGTGACCGCTTCACGGATGAAGAGGTGGACGAGCTATTCCGAGAGGCGCCCATCGACAAGAAGGGCAACTTCAACTACGCTGAGTTCACGCGCATCCTCAAACACGGCGCAAAGGATAAGGATGATGAGTAGTAGAGGGAGATCTAGACCCCATCCGGCCTCCTTTGTGCACACTGCACAACTCTATTACCAGTTCCTCTCGGAAGAATTCATTATCAGCTTATTTCCTTGTATTTTTGTATCATTTGAGATTAATGTGTTCATTAAAGGCAGATTCTTGGGATCCAAAGAATTACTCTGCTGTGCACAGCCTGTTTCTATCATCATGTGACAGCTCTAAGCCTGCTTGGCTTCCACCCAGACTGCAGTTTGTTATTCTAAGGGTCCGTATTTGGGCCTTTAGAGATGCATCAAACATCGGTGTGTGAAGGGACTGTTTGGACTTCCATTATCAGTGCTACATATCTGCCAGTTAGCTACCACACACACACAAGCACTGCAGTGATGCCCCTTCTGTGATCTCTATGCTTGTATGGTTTAAAAATGATTTTGACAATCAAAAGGGGTGATTGTTTCTTCCTCATAAAACAGAATATAATTGGCTGGCTAAATGAAACCTTGCTCTGGCAGCTGGTTGAGTTCAAGTTTTGAGGGATCAGATGTGTTGTTGAAGGAATTTTGTCTTAAAACTGCTCAGGCAAATAAAGTGTTTATATGCATCGTCATTGTATCGTCAGCTGGCCCACGTTCCATGTCTTCCACTGAATTCACGTTTACGCAAAGATTAAGACACTTTATCAGGAAGGGATGCAGACACAATGTGTGAGCAGTGCGCTGGAATCTGTTGAAACTTTTACAAGATTAAATATTTTCTATTTATGTATTTGTATAGGAGTTTCCTAAGGTGTGTCCAATAGATTTATGGGCCATTCCCATCTGTACCGGGTCGGCCCGGGCCGGGTAGCGTAGGTTGTTTACATATCTGGGTGGCCTGGTATTTTTCCGGGCCAACCAAGGCTCATTCTCAGCCCTCTTCTCGAGGGGGTCTGCTTCAGGCCGACCAGGGCCAACACACCCACTGCTGACAGCAAATTCACACCTTCCATTAGAGCAAGCCTCTGATTGGTGGGTAGAATCAGCCCACATGGGCTTAAGACAAGGATGTGTGGAATCAACCGGGCCAGGCTGGGGCCGACTGGGGCTACCCGGCCCGGGCCGACCCGGTACAGATGGGAATGGCCCACTAGTATGTAAACGCCCTAAAAAGGATATTTTAAACATTTATAAAACTTATTGTGACAGAATGGAATGATTACGATTACGGGACAAAAAATATTTTCATAATAGGTGACACTCAAAAAATAAAAGTATTTTAAGATTTGAGGATTTGAACTTATTTCTTTATGAATAACTTCATGCTTCAAAATCCATTATTCCATCCTTGACTCTTCTCGTGTCCTAATCTCTCACAAGCAGAAGAGGTGAGGTAGGCTAACTAACATTTGAGACACAGAAAATCTAACAAATTTTTTAAGTAAAAAACAACTAAATTGTATATTAATGGACACATTTCTGGCACCTGCAACCAAGGGGCAAACTCCGCCTACCAAAGTGACGCCAACGCGGAAGTGATCAAAGTGCAGTTCCCTCCTCATCCACTAGGGGCTGGCTCATCCTTTTGGGCTGTAATGAAGCAAGTTCCCACTGACTTCCATGTTTAAAATGTCCGCTTCACAGCAGAAATACACATGTTTACAGCGTGGTTTAAAAAACACTTTTAGGTTTAATAGGTCATGTTAACATCGTTAAAAACTGAGCTCGTGAATTTTTTGTAACGCTCCATTTAGATGTAATTAAAGCTTGAAATTATGAATAATTAGGGGTGTGTTCATTTGTTTGACATGTAGCAGATGAGCTCAGTGCTGGCGCTAGCGGCTTGCCTCCTGCTAGCTCCAGGGAAGGCCTCAGCCTCTCATGTCAAAAATGTTACAGCCTAGAAGGCAAAAGCGGAGTCGATCAACCACAGTTTCTGGCTAGAAGAGCCAGCCATCCCAAGCCCTTTTTACAAAACACACCATGCCGGCATATTGGTGTAATATTACCACAAAGGTGTGTCTTATTAATGCGCCAAGTCGGCATGGCGTTGAGCGAATTTAGCGGCACTTGCTAGGCAGTAATGTTGCGGTAATGATCTGTCCCATAAACAGCTATTGTGCCATGGCTCAACAGAGGGAGGTGTCATGATGATATGGGAAGTTAATGCCGAGCTCAGGCCAGCAAATATACTGAAAATGCAAGTAAACGCTGGCAATAAGTTTAGCTTTTTGAACAAAATCAACTGAGACGGCAAACTGACGCTCCATTAGCATCTCTCCGTTAGAGCTGAAGCTCAGACCACCAGAAACCGCATAGGGACTAATGGGGACAGACACCTTTAGAAGCAGCTTGCTAAAGAAAAACGTAACGATCGCAATTTCAATTGCATTAAAAAGCAAGTTATGTCCAAGATAAATGGAAGTCCGCGGCATCGCAGAGACCACAACCATACCCCCTTTATGTCGCCATCGCCTATTTTTTTTTTCTAAAAAGGACACAATTACGCCACGTTACCGCCACGGTCTGACCACTTATAAATGAGCTAAGGGTCCCTGATGCCACCACGGCGTTGTGGCAAATTTACGAAATTTTTTGTAAAATAGGCTTCAGCTCAATTAGACTGTAGCTATATCGGCTCAGAGCTTGATTGGCATCAATCATCTGACCCCAACCCTTCTCCAGCCAGCCAGCCAGCCAGAGTCCAATGGAGCATGCCTAGACCAAACTTTGCAAAGCAAGAATTTGGTCTAGTTCACTAGGCTAGATCAGATGTCTACTCAGACCGGTGCAACACCCACATTAGTGCAGACGCGGCAGCACCAATCCGCCTATCGATCTCATGCTCCATTTTCCCTTCACTCGTGAACAAGACCCCGAAATACTTCAACTCCTCCAATTGAGAAAAGTCATTGTCTCTGACCTGCAGAAGGCATTCTACCCTTTTCCAATTCAAGACCATGACAGTGAAGCCCTCAGGTCCATTTTTGTATTTTACGGGAGTGACACTCCCAAGATGGCAGTGGTGGGAACCACTTAGCTTCATTTCAGCTCTTCAGACACCTACGGGTGACGGCGTGAAGGGCTCATCCATTTTATATTAAATCTATGCCTCAGCCTCAGAAAAATGATTAGTTCTTTCCTTAAAAACAAGGTATAGTGAAGCTTCAGTCTCCTGCTCTCTGCTGGACCAGATGAGTACTACAGGCAGTCATTTTCCAATTAGAGGAAATATTTTATCCAATAAACAGTTAAGTAAAAATTATTTTTGTTTCATTTATCAGTTTAAAGTAAATAAGACACGTAATGTTTTAGATAGTAATTTATGTTTAATATAGTCTTTTTATGGACAAAAGGATGAATTATTGAATATAAAACTCCAACAACAAGTCTCGCCTGTAGTCTGGGTGCACATCAGGAAATGAGACATCTTTTCACTCAGGTCTATTCATGGGCCAAAAGCCGTCCAGGTGATAAATTAGATACCAGATCATCCTCAGTTTGGATCAAAGGCTTCCATTTAATTTGTTCAACTATCACTTCTAAAAGTGGTTCCAGTTCTAGTAACTTTCACAGTCTCTAAATTTAAATGTATTTTAAAAAAACTTGTAGTTGACAATTAGGACAAGAAATACGATCTTTGAAAAAAAGGAAACTTTTATTTTTTGAAATGATCATACAAAACACATTTTAAGTTTAAAGTGTATATTGCACAGACTATTGAGTGTTTAATATATTCATATATATATAAGAAAATAAGAATAAAACCAGGACATCATCCCTCGGTCGAGGGCTTAAGGCACAGAGTCAGTCATGACCTAGAACATGAACTTGGAAATGAACATTCAGAACGCGTTTGGCTGTAAAACTACAGTACGAGACAGGGCTCTTACTATTACATAAAAGAAAAATCAACATATTTACATCAGCACATCTTTTACTCATAAATGTCAGTTTGCAGTTAAAACCTGATACAAACTTCACCGTATAAAACCTAGAAGAATAATCCAGATTATGTGAAGCGGGGTTTTGTAGAGTCGCTGTTGGCATAGGATGCTACCAGCAGCAGGTAAGCATTCTGAATCCTCTCGGAGTGGAGAACCTTCTCAAGGAGTCAAGGAAAAAATATAAAAAATAAAATAAAATTAAAAAAAATAATAATAATACAAAGAAGGAACGGTTACAACGGGATTTTCTGCTGGATTAAATCTATTTTAAACCCAAATAATTCCAGAATGGTTCGTACAAATGCTAGCTTGTAAACTTTCACACTGCTGTTGCATTTCATGGTTATTCTGGCAGAAATATAAACTATGTACTGAAAGAGCTAATGCTAGTTTCCATTCGCACTCATAACAGGGAGATTTCTTTTTAAAGAAGTTGTTTAAAGAAGCAGTAATCCACATTGTAACTGGCCCTACTCTGACTAGCCATTAGCTTGTCAATCCAATGAAAACTAACCACTTTGTTCAAACTGAAATGTTTCACAGAGTTAGTGACTGTTAGGGAATTGTACACAATGTTTCAACAGAATCCCACTCCACAGGATCCGAAGTATCCCTTTAACCAGCATTTATCCAGCACCACATCCACAAAGGCATCACAGTGCATCCACGTTGTCGGAAAACTAAAACATCACCACAACGTACGACCCAAGCCTGATGGGAAACGTGTAAAATGAGGTATAAATGCGGACTATTCTACCCAGAGTGTGCAACAAGACGTCCATCCTTACTTGTCTGCACAAAACAAAAGAAAAAAAATCAGTCGAGCTAACCGTAGACTTCCTCCGGCCTCACAACAACGCACACACATACTGGAAAACACAAACGTGCTACATTACAATTCTGCAATAGCATTAATGAAAGAGATTTCAGTTGTTCTCTCGTGCTACAGCTGTTGGAGCTTTCGGCAGTATATGGTGGTTTCACAGAAACTACAGCTTAATGGGTTAAAATGGAACCCCTACAGAAACTAGCATCAGATTGACACAAATCATCTAAGTGTGCTACCTCTGTTAAGAACACGTACGCAATAATTAACCTTTTTCACAAGACATTCGAATGTGAAAAAACATAAACTCCAAGAAACGTCAGAGAAATGGTGACGAGTGAATAAAGGCTCCAATCATACAGGCTCTATATGCGTTTGATAGACAATACTTGAAATTTCATCCAGGACGGGAACGTGCAGAGCAGCTGAGATGACATGACGGAGGACGAGCGATGGGGAGAACCGGGGGGGGGGGTCCATTCAGTCGCTGCTTTACAAAGACACGGAAGTTGAAAAAAAAGAGGCGTCTACCTTTTCTTAAACTAAATCAAACTCTTCTGGGGAAGATTTAACCAATGACATCAATGTCATTCGTACATTCAACCAAGTCCAGCCCTGCTACTGAAGAGGCCAGCTCTGCTCTGCTAAAAATACACATTTTGTACAACCCCCCCCCCCAGGAAAAGACATTTAAACTGAGGAAATGCATCGACGTCAGCGTCTCTGAATCATCTCAAGCCTGTCAGAGGGACTTTGATGTGCAGACTGAGGCTTCAGATACATTCTGCTAAAAAAAAAAACCCTAGTTGACAGCTTCACTCATTGTGTGCAGGCTGTGCTGCGGCCCCCACATTGTAGTCATTGGGGTCTTCACCACCTGCCTGGTGTTTGAGTGAACCATGCTCCAAACATTGGGCACCACGGCTGAACTCCGCTGAGCACCAGAGGAGGGCAGCAAAGGAGGGGCGAGGCCCAAGCGGGCTGCAGCCGACGCAGAACCGGGGGATGGAACACACAGAGCGTTTCCCGGAGTTTTATGGAACGGCAGGAGGAGCGAGACTCCTTTAGAGGCCGAGTGTGTGTCCTGACTTGTAGCAGAGGTTGAGGCGGGACTCGTGACCGGTGCAGAGACGAGTGATTCTAAAACCGGACATGTGGAAGAAGGTGGGACAGAAGTTGAATCCAATTGCAAGGCTGCGCTGACCACTGGAGCAGCAGCTGGTCTCTGCGCATCTAGCTGCCCCAGGCCATAGGCAGACCCTGGCACCACGGCTGGGTTGAGCTGGGGCTGGTGTGGGCTGGACGCTCTGACGGCTTCCAGCTGAGGACAAATCCTCAAGGCTGAGAACGGTGCAGCCACTCCCAAGGACACAGGGAATTTTATCGACACTCCAGCTGACTCTGGAACAGCCATAGCCTTCTCCATTAGACTCTGAACTCTAGAGGGATCCATGACCTGCTCTTCTGGAGGCGGGGTCGGGCCCAGGTCGCTGCTGTAAGCACTGCGTGCGGTCTTTAAAGCCTCTGGCGGCAGATCCTGAACCTCCTTGAGTCTGTCCTGCTCTTCAGCTCGTTGGAGAGCAGCGTCCACCAGGAGCCTCAGGTCACTGAAGTCCTGTGTAGGGAACAGCTCAGGAGGAGTAGGGGGAGGCGTGTTGAAGAGGCCACTGGAGGAGCTGGCTGCCGCTGTTGAGCTGGCGGGGCCCGTTTCATCAGCTTCCCTCAGCAGACTTTGCGTGTCCAGATTCATTAGCGCCTGCACCGACCCCTGCTTACCAGGGTAGCCTGCTCCAGTCAGAATCGCTGTGGCCGTGTTCCCCAGGAGATTGAGGTCCAAAGTGGGTGCAGAGCGAATCACAGACGGGCGCTGTTGCAAAGAGACGCTGGCCTCTGGAGAGCTGGCTCTCGCTGCGCTGGACAGGTGGCCTTCGATTTTACTGCAGACCTTACGGGAGATGGTGAACTTGGTTGGATCTTTGCCATCCTTACGAAGAAGATCGGGGAGAAGGCGGCGACGCGCGTTGATGAACCAGTTGCATATCTGAGGGGGGGGAAAAAACCCACTTCTGGCATAAATAGAGAGCAGAGGTTTAAGATCTACAACATCTTCAAGTGTGTCTGACTTTCTCCCTCTACTGGTAACAGCAAGGAGGAGCAGAGGCAGAAAAATGAGAGTGTTCAGACAGCTGGCAATAATGAAGATGTGAGCTGAAATGTGCTGAGCCACAGAGAAAGCAGCCAAAAGCATTCCACTGAACTGACTGCATTAAAAGGAACGTCGCGGCTGCTCCAACTGCTCTGTAATCTGCACGTGCATGTGGGGAGAAAAGGAAAGGTCTACCATTGGTGCGAACTGGGATGGCGTAATTCACATCAGTAAAGGGTAAATAAAACAGAAAAAAAAGCACAATAAAGTTTAAAATCCCCTCACCTGCAGCACGGAGAGCTTGGTCTGACCCGACAGGCTGAGTTTCTCTTGCTCCGACGGATAGGCGTTGAAGCGGTGCTCGTACAGCCAGCTCCGAAGAATCTGCACTGCTTCCTTGGGCAGGTTGCCACGGCGGCGCCGCTTCCCGAGGAGCCCCCTTCCCGACGGGTCAAGCAGGGATCCCTCATCGCTGTCTGACATGGCTGAAGAGTGCTCCTGGTCCGGATGAAGATCATCCTCCAGAGCTGAAGAGGAAGAAAATGTATTTTATAACTGTTTATCATCTATTGTTTTTCTGTTCACGCTTTCAGGCACAAAACGACACCTTGACTTCATCTTAACATTAGCTGGCTCCATGTGAGCAGACAAGTTCACCAATCTTTACCCTAAAGAAATGGTTCAGCTTTTAGAAGTGGTTTCTGTGAAAAGCCCATGAGCAATTATGGTCTTAACTGTATTTGGATGTTTATTTTTGTATTTGATTATTTTATTTAAAAAAAACAGACTTTTGAGTGTGAGATTGGCTGATTGTGATCAACAGATGCCTTTTTTGGGATGTCTAGCTCAAAAAAAGTTGAATTTATTTCTAAATATTACTCTAGGCTTTACTTTGGTGCAGGTAGAAAACATGAAATTCTCACCAGAATTATTGCAAATCTTCTAATTTCTGCTGTAAAACATGAATTCCGTCAGTCCAAATATCCATCTAAAGCAGGTAAGACACTTATTGTCTATAACCTTTTCACAGATCTGACCTATCTTGTGCACTTGCAATGCTTTGCCTTAAAGCTGTGGCGAGTTCAAACGAAAGCTTCTTACTTTGAACTCTAATTTTTGCTGAATTCACGGTGGGTCACTGGAGGAAATCTCCCCACAAAATGGAGCATGCCTGATCCCAGGGGTGGGCCACAGAATGCAGTAAATGTCTTTCTCTGGGGCTGGGTGAAACCTGACCCCCGGGGGCAGCGCCTGTCCTCACAAAGGAGATTGTGTTCATATCAACATCACAGTAGCCACTGGCCCAGGAATCTATTGACCATGGAAAGGGGGCTGTTTTCAGACCTCTAGAACCAGAGAGGCTGAAGGGTTTGAATTTTGTCTCGTACCTGGACAGTGAGGGATGCTCTAGTGCACAATAAATTACAAAATAAAATACATTTTCATTTAAAAATAAAACTAATGAAATCTGCTATGGTGGTTTCATAATATAAAGTTAATTCCATGAAGTTAAATCCCGGTTTGATGCTTGATTGTGTTTATTGAGCAGCCTGTTAAAGAAACGTGACGTACGTGATGCACAGCACTCCCGCAACCAAACAGCCTCTCGCTGCAGTCATTCGGCTTTTTAATCGTTTAAAAACCCACAAAAATAAATAAATTAAATTAACATCTGTGAGTAATTGAGTTAAAAGCAAATCAAAGACTAAAATCACACTATCAGCAGGAGCTGGCTACTAAATCACACAGACTGTCAAACAGGCCAACTTCTTGTTTACAAAATGCCCTCTGTTGTTTACACAAGTCAGTAATGTGGGATTTCTTGTATTTTCCTTTGGAAAGGGTTTCGAAACCTCACGTTTGAAGTTTCATCTTGTTCCATGAGAAACTGTCTTCAAAACTTCTTCAGCTTCAAAAGTGGAATTCTGTCCGTTAGAAAAAAGCTACCCCACAAAAAGTTACAAATCAGGGGAAGAAAGGAGGGGAACACACCAACACGTCGTTTTGTAGGAGTAAAAAAAGCCAATTGAGAGGAGCAAAACGGGGGAACACTCGGTAAATGAGCCATCTGGAGCGCACAAAGGAGGCAGACAGAAACGCATAGCCTCCCCGCATGTCGCTCCGCCAGATGGACAGCATGCCTGCCTCAGAAGATAACTAGCTGACTAGCTGTCCCCCTCCTCCTCCTCGGTTTTAAACACAAACACACGCTGCATTTGCTTGTGTCACACACACACACACACACACAGCAACAAAACTCACACACCAGGCAGAGCCAACAAGCACTTCCAGTGTGTTAACTGTTCAAAACACGAGCAGAGCGGTGCTCACCTCGTTTAAACGCTTTCATTCTTTGTTGATGGGCTCGCTGGAAAACAAGCAGCTGTCCAAGTTGAGCTACAAAAAGGAGCCAAACGATGAGAATGACACTTTCTTCCAACACCTCTTCAGCTTCCTCCTCTTTTTCGAGTCACATTAAAATTCTTCTGTTTAGGTTTGGCCACAAGAAAAGGTTTCCATCTCACTCCTCGCTTTCTGCCAGGATGAATGTTTCTATTTTTTTCTGTCGCCTGCTCCCTTTTTTTTACCTGAACGCAGCAGCAACGCGAGCTCTTTGCCAATCTTGACAGTCGCAGCTTAAATGGTCCCGCCTCTTTAGCTCGTATAGGCCAATCAGATTGCAGCTTTCCGCCTCCTGTAACCAATCGTGGTGCGTCTCGCGACAGCGGCAACATTCCGTGTTGTTGTGATGGACGGGAGAACCATTTCATTCAAAATCCATCAGACGGTCGCTGCAACGTTGTTGTGTGGAAACAGGTCTAAAACCACAGTTAGGGAACGCAGGTTCAGAGACATTTAGATCATATTTCCGACAACTATGGAGAGTTTTACTCTTGCCGTGGTTTACGTAACAATGTAAAAAAATAAAATCTGGTTACGTAAAACATAACCATCGAAAGGTGACTAAAACCGACCTGTCCATGAGTAAGTTTTACGTTATGATTAAGGGTTTTGTGAAATGACAAAAAAAAAAAATCATAATAAAGAAGTAACGCACCTGGAAAACCCACTTTTGACCAAACTTGTCCAAGTTTTGACTCAGATTTATAATTTGAAGAAAACCCAAAAAGAAACACAATATAAAATGAATATCTCTAATTATTTCAGTTTTCTAAAATAATAAATAAGTTATTACAAAAAATCCCAAACACCAATGCAAAGACAGACATGAAAAACTGTTTGAGAAAGTATTTTGTGCATTTTTATTGAACAGTGTGCCTCTGCATTATACATGTGAACAATCTTGATAGTATAAATAGACCTACAGCATTGTAAAAGATGACAATTTTACTCTGGTTTTATTCATATTTACAAACAATACAACTTTAAGAAGCACAATGGGATAAAATGCAAGACAGTATCATAAGAACCTCCTTTACTCTGTATTGCACATACTTCAAATAATACCAGAGTATAGTGAACAGCTACATCTCATGAACGACACACTCATTCACAAGTTTACAATTTGTTTTTCATTCAAAAACCTACCAACCCTGATTTATACAGCCTATACAGCGTTCTAATGAACAGATTCTAGTCATTAAAATATGTGCTTAATTCATAAAATACTTATTTTCAGAGACTTTTTGCTACATGGCATCTCGGCTGGTGTGAGCATAGCCTCTGCCCTTCACCCAATCCTGTGTTTTATGAACGAAGCAAAAGTTGGAGGGAAGCTTGTTTAACTGTCTTGTTTTAGAGTAAGGAGGTGATCAGGGTTAATGTAAAGAACATTTTGTCTTTATCTCAGAAGGGCAACACTTTTAAAGACGGGTTGATTTGAACGTCAGGTGTTTTCAGACTTGGTTTTAGGAGTTGAAACAAAAAAGGGGGGAAGAAGCATGGCTTTACATAGTAAATCCTTTTAACTTAATTCATTTATGAGATTTGCCGATCTTAATCTTGTTTGGCCCTCATTCATGATAACTTTATTTCTGTAATTGAGAAAAAGGTGTACCTCTTTTAATGTGCAAAGGTTGCTACTCAAACTTACTTTGAAAGGTGAAAAGTTTCAAACTCATATGTATGAGGACCATTATCGCACCCAAATATTTCACTTTTGCACCCAAAAGCCCCCAGGACGGCTTTAGGACAACTCTACCCAGGAAACAGACATAGCCCTCTAGTTTGTGTGTCTACTGGAGGGAAGCTTTGTTTATATGTATGAGATAAGCTCAGACAGTGATGTCAGGGCATTTCACACAACCAAATGACAGAACAAATAGGAAAGTGTGGTTTTATCTGTATTTAAAACACATGGCATTTTTATGGAGACGACTAAGAGAAAAATAAATGAAAATGATCAAAGAGTAGGCCTATGTGAGTAGGAGATGACAAATCTCCTCCTTTAGTTTACCAAATAAAAGACATGCTCACTGGACAGAGAAAAAAAACATCTGGTCAGGCAAATTTTTAAAGCAGTCAGGAATCAAATCAAGCCAATGGCCATATTTACATGAACAAAAGGCCTTTCAGGTGCTAACGAAGCTATCCTCCCAGTCAAATGGAAAGCAGCATTGACAGCAGCCAGGGACTCGTCTATTCACACCCCTGAGCCACTTTCCTTCCTTGAGGTCACCCACAGCAGGCAAACACAACTCACAAACAATGGGCTGCCGTCACAGTACGAAGAGAGGTATTATTCATGCTTTTTAAATCCATAATTGGGAGGCTCGTTGTTGGGTCACAGTGTAAGTAAGGGCCATTGCAACAATTTTTTTCTAACCAATTAGACAGGAACGTTGTTTATGTTTTCCAATTTGGAAGAAAACCATGAGTGGAAGACAAGCCAACAACTAGTGAATCTGATGTCACAGTTTGTATAGCTGAGCACGTAAGAAAAAATTGAAATTATTTACTGTGGTTTATAAAGACGCATCATTAATTTTAATTTTGCAAAGTAAATGATAATGCTGTGAAAAATAAATAGTCCAAAAAACAATAACATTAGTGATTAAAAAATTATGATTTCATTTAAATAAAGCAGAAAAAATTATTGAAAACGACCGGGTCTTATGTGAAAAAAACCCTGCTCATTGATGTATCATGAAAAAAAAAAACAACCACAATATTTGAAGAGATGAGTACCATGTACCAAACCTGACTAGTTCCAGACCCATGGAATAAACAAATCACTCCAATAGAACCTGGCTGAAAACATGAAATAGGCTAAAAGATCTCAAAAAGCATCATACACTGCCGAGCTAAGTCGACACCAAAACAAAAGGTCACACATTCTAATATTTTGTTGGACCTCCTTTAGCTTTTATTACTGCACACATTTGCTGTGGCATTGTTTTGATAAGCTTCTCCAACATCACAAGACTGATTTCCATCCCGTGTTGCATTAATGTTTCACCAAGATCTTGCATTGATGATGGTAGATCTGGCCGCTGCACTAAGCCTTCTCCAGCACACCCCAAAGATTCTCAATGGGGTTAAGGTCTGGACTCTGTGGTGGCCAATCTACGTGTGAAAATGATGTCGCATGCTCCCTGAACCACTCTTTCACTATTTGAGTTTATTCATCTTGGAATAAGCCCATGTCACCAGGGAAAATGAAATAACCTGGTCATTCAGTATCTTCAGGAAGTCAGCTGACCTCATTATTGTAACACATCCTGTTGGGTATGTATATAAGTATATATGTATGTGTGTGTAAATGAACATGGGTGTGGGTATACATGTTCTTATGTGTTTTTAGGTATTTTTATTCTCGTTTATTGTGGTTGTTGTATGTTTTAGAGAGCGAACATCTACCGAAGACAAATTCCTTGTAAATGTACTTTTACTTGGCCAATAAATCTGAAATCTGAATCTGTTGCTGAACCAAGACCTGACCACCTGCAGTAAGCCCAGATCACAACACTGCCCTGCAGGCTTGTACAGTAGGCACTAGGCATGATGGGTGCTGGGTTAAATAACTTATTGCCAGCTGAAAGATAATCACCCATGCTGTAATTATCCAATAGGAGGCTTGTGCCTAATTGCTTAGTTAAATGCAGGTGGTAACTTTTTTCTTGCTAGGCAGTGTATCCTGGTCTCATTTAAGAGCAAAAACAACCCTAAACAACTAAATCACCTGCAGGGCTCACTTAGTAAAGTTAAGTTGAGGGGTCATGATTCAGAAATGGCTTCATGGTAAGGTCCAAAACCTCTGCTGACCAAAACGTATACAAAGGCTCATCTCACGTCATCTTGGAAGGTGTGTGTAAATTCACATCTGTTATCACCGCATTTCACATAAAAACATGATATCAACAGTCAAACATGGAGGTGGTAGTGTGATGGTCTGGGGCTGCTTTCCTGCTCTACCAGGAAATCCTGAATATCTGACCATTGACCTTAAACAGGCCATTCATGCACAGAAACCCTTCCAATGGGATTGAATTCAGTCCCGCAAATAAAGGTGAGCTGAAATTCCCTCACCGTCCAGGGAAGCTCAATCCCAGTCATATGTAATGCTTGATTTTAGTTCTTGACACCGACTGTTATTAGGTTAGGTGTCCATTAATTTTTCCACATCAACACAGGTTGCTTTGGATCATCTCCTCCTAAAATGTTAATCTGTGCGTGTTTGGGATCAATACTGTTTCACAGTATTGTGTGTAATAAATACAACAGGGCAGAGATCAATGCTTTCATATATGTGAATACCCTTTCACCACATACAACTGTGTAAACTGGACTGACATGTGGGAGCTGTTGACCTCCTCAGGTCAGAAATTAATCTTTCCATTAGATCACTCTCTGGCCCAGGAAGGGCTGAGGACTGATTCTGTAGTCTCACTGCTGTCGTTGGGTAGATGGATGGGTGGTTCTGTTCACGCTTCCGGCTGTGGGTGTGTGCATATCAAAACGTTAAATCTGTATTACATGTGTTGCCGTGGCTACGGTACGTTTTGCTGCTGACATTCCAACACACAAGTAGAGTCAAAAAAATAATGAACTCATCTTTGGCTTCTGAAGTCTGCAAAGGGACAAAAAAAGCAAACACGATTAAATAAATATTAAAAACAACAAAAAATACTGGAGCTTTAATAAAAACAAGGTTTTCTGTGATTGAGAAAAACAAACATTACATTGAAGCTGGATGGTGATGGGAATCAAAATCTCCTGCTGTACGACTTCCAGGGAAGTTCTAGCTATTTAACACTCATTGAAGTTGGTGAAAATAGAAAATTTAAATCAACTGTGAATATGGAAAACAGAAGAAAAATAATCAAGAGACTAAAAGGATTAGATGGATTAAAACGATGTTTCCCCCAAAACTAAAATAAAACATAATTTGCGAACAGCTGAGATCTTTATGATTGGCCTCTGTTATTATGTGCTTTCATTCAAACCATTAAGAAACTGAACTTTTACAGAGTCTCACCACTTTTAAAATCTTTGACACAAAACATTTTTCATGACATGAGTTTGTTGCAATTAAGGAACAATATATTTGGACCCCCCCCCCCCCCCCCCCCCCCCAAAAAAAAAAACAAACAAACACCTGAATTTCATCATACCTAAGTATTCAGATAAGAACAGATTACCACATAAACCAAAGAATTATCGATCCAAAAAATAAACACAAGGAAGACGTACAGAAGGGAATTTGTGGCGTGTGTGCAATTTGTGAGATGGCCACAAGGTGATGCTGTGCAAAGCTACAAGATGGCCAGTGATCTGGGAAGAGAAAGAGTGAGGGAAGGGTTTTTCCTTCCACCTGCTTAATAAATCTTATAGCCACGATACGAGAACTTTTAAAACAGTCTTCATAAAGATTCTTTAGCCTATAATTGACATAATAATTATTTCATAAACAGTTTTCTAATAATTATCAAGAAAATAATTGACAAAGTTCATCAGGTGAAGTCTTCAGTGGCAGCCTCAAAACGAGTAATCTCCTGGTTTATAGTCTGTTGGCTCCACACGCACAAAAAATAACACAGAAAGAAAAAAAAATCTATTTTTGTTTCAACCAGGACCAGCCTATCAAATGACCTCAACCCTTATCCACTCAGCAATATGTTCTCTCCTCCAACACTTATCTACCTTTTTCATCTTCCCTGCTCAAAGCTTCTCTCAAAGGCGAGTTTGGGCCTCGGGGACATAAATTTCAATGCTGTCTGCGCTTTCTGTGGCAGAGTTCTGGCGAAACGAGGCAGCCTTCTTTGCAGCCAACAGGCGCTTGCGTGCCTCTTGTCTCTGCTTTTCCGCTGAGGCAGATAAAGAGGTTGAGGAAGAGTCGGCGCTCTTCTCGCGGCCGAGCGTCGGTCGTCCCTTACCAGGCTTCTTTGACGCAGGATGAGCCTCCTTGTCGTCGTTCTGTTGTATACGCAGAAGAAAAAGTACAATGAGAACGTAAAATATATTGATTTATCTGAATTTTGTTTGTATTTCGGACCAAACACGACACTGATTGTGATTTAACCTTTAGGGATCTAGGTGATAAACACAGAAACACAACAGGAAGTACGTAAACACACAGAACAGACAACTTACAAACACCTGAAATGGTAACATGAATCAATGAGTACAGTGGGTCGAACTTAAATTATGACGCGGACATCGAGACAATCAATACAAGTAGACAGATAGGCGAAACAAAGCCAAAACCCAGAAAACTTTTAGATGTTTCAGACAAGACAGACCAAGAAAAGCCACACAAACACAAATATAGTAGCTTAGAAATCTAGAGCGACCATAGCAGTGGCAAAAAGATTTTGCTCTGCTGGTCGGTCTAGCCACGCTCCATTGTAACCTCAGCTGGCTTACCATTGGCTCGAACAATTTTATGTTCGTCCAATCACAGCACTCGATATTTGTAAAGATGTTAGGCGGGTTAAGCACCAGAGTTGAGATAGAGGTAAACTACGAAGATAGCTCTGGTTTAGGCTTGTTTGAAACGGCTTTGGCATCAACTTTGCATGATTTAGATTTAGACTTTCTTTGAGACATCAGCAGATAGACGTAATTAAGTGATTTATTTTGAAAAAGGATGTATTTGCTTCTTCTTTGATGGTGTATCGTGGACTGCCACGTTGAACGGTTTCTGTTGTTCATTACTCTGATTGGTTCTAGCTCTGTCCTATTGCATGCAGAGACAGTTTGAAAGACAACCGTAGACTCCGCCCCACGACTGAGTTCTGTCTATGGGTCGTGGCCAGACTATACATTCGTATATAAAGGATGGCTTGCCAGACAAACGTAGTTGTTTAAAGAGCAAAAGCAAGACTGCATTCTGTCACATGAGCCAGTGCATCTTAGCCATGCTCCACAAAAATACAAACACACACACAGAAAAATGACACATGCATGCTCAAAGCAGGGCTTTACACCTAAAAACACAACAGCGCCAACCCTCTTTGAGGTGATTTTCTTTCCCCATGCATGCCTAGAGGGATGTAGGACCCCCCTTCATATGTTGGCCAGTGAGGCCTTGTTAGAGTTCATACCACGCAGGGTCGAGGTTAAAATTTTGAAATAAAAAAGAGTGGCAGAAATGGTTGTGGTGGTGGTGGGAGGAGAGAGGCCGGATACGGCGGCTTTCCTACCCCAGCCAGGGCACTGGGCTGCATGGGTGGGAAGTACCTTCCGCTCGGGGGCCGACTGGACAGCTACAGATGAAACAGGCTGCCAGTCGTTAGACTTGAGATGGTAGAGCTCATCAAACTTGAGGCTAATGTCCTCGATGGAGAGCTGCAGCAGGTCCCAAAAGCCAGCCAGGTCCTGGGCTGTGGGTCGCGGACTGGCATTCACATTCTGACCAAAGGAGGGAAAAAGAGAGACAAGAAATATTAATTAAGAAATAGGATTTCTTAAGTTGGTGTCTACAATCTTAAGGTAAGAACTGCAAACCAGTTACTAAAAGTAGTACTAAGTACTTTGGTATTTTGCCACCTGCTGAGATAAATAAATCAGAAGTTAGCGGCCATTCACGACCCGCCAGATGAGCTGCCTCTGTCCCTCATGAGGATATTTTCTAAAGCCCGACATTATACCTGCCAACAAACCTGTCTCTTCAGTAATCAGAGGGTTGAAAGATCGAGCCTGCCACCAGGCAGAGAATGCTGCAGTTGTGTCCTTGAGCAAGACACTTAACCCTTTAAGCACCAAAGTCGCAGAACTGCGACAAGCAGCAAAGTTGGATTTAATAAGCTTTTTTTGAATGAGGATTTCTGGACCCTCATCACAACTGAAACTAACCAATATGCTCACCAGTATTTAGAGAGGGAGGAACTGAAATCTAGCTCCAGATATAATGACTGGTACGATGTAACTGTCCCAGAAATGAAAGCATTCATTGCCATTCAGTTCTGCATGGGGCTTGTGGAAAAGCCTGAGATTGAGAATTATTGGGCTGGCTTTTGGCCAACATACACACCTGGCTTCAGCAAAGTGATGTCAAGAAACAGATTTGAGATCATCCTTTCTTTTCTCCACTTTGTAAACAATGATGAGCGTGTTGAAAGGGGTCAGCCAAGTCATGGCAGACTGTTCAAGGTGCGCCCCATTATTGAGATGATAATTCCACGCTTTTCATCCATCAATGGTCGGCAGAAAGAACTGTTCTTGGATGAAATGACCATCGCATTCAAGGGAAGGTCTACCTTGAGGGTGTACAACCCCCCAAAAAACAGACAAATATGGCTACAAAGCATTTGTTCTGAGTGAGGCAAGCTCGGGTTACGTTTTGCAGTGGTCCCTCTACACTGGATAAAGTGCAAATGATGATGAAAATTTAGGTGCCACATGTTTTTGTCTTATTTTCTTAGTGTTGTTATTGTTTATGATACATACATACATATTCCTATGTAGATATATATATATATATATATATATATATATATATATAAATAATATTTATTACTTTATTGGTATTTTGTTATGTTTACTGTGTATCAATCAAGAACACTGTTTTTGGTGCAAAATAACAAAAATCTGCAAATGTGATGCAATCCAATATGGCTGCCACCTGATGATGTCATAACATGCAAATTATGTGAGTGAATTTGTTCCTATCACAAAATTTGGCTCATACTGAAGATTTTTCTAAGTTGCAACATTCCTCTATCTCTAACCAGATTTAAGCTACAAGCTCTTTAGCTCAGTGGCCTAGTGGTAGAGTGTCCGCCTTGAGACTGGGAGATCAGGGATTCGATTCCTGGTCGGGTCATACCAAAGACTTTGAAAAAAAAATGGGACCCAATGCCTCCCTGCTTGACACTCAGCATTAAGGGGTTGGATTGGGGGGTTAAACCACCAAATGATTCCCGAGCGTGGCTGTGTCTGCAGCTCACCGCTCCCCCAGGGGATGGGTCAAATGCGGAGAACAAATTTCGCACACACATCAGTGTGTGTGACAACTAATGGGACTTTAACTTTAACTTTAAGTAGTGATATAAAAAATTCATATTTTACAGAAAAAACTATGGCGCCTAAGGGTTAACCCAAATTGTCTGCTGGTGGTGGTCAGAGGGACTAGTGGCGCTAGTGCTCAGCAGCCTCGCCTCTGTCAGTGCTGTATCACAAGCGCGAATGACTGATGGTGTTGTAAAGTGCCTTGGGGGCTCTAGGACTAATTCGTTTGCAGTGGTCTGTAGTAGGAATGAATGCCTTGTAAGTCATTCTCTGGGGGGGAAAGCTCTGGTGCTCCTGTTTGAGGACATAGAAGCCAGCCGTAGGAGAAATTAGCTTCAGACGGCAGGATTTGGAGTCTTATTACCTGATTGGCTAACAGCAACACGACTCTGGAGCCTGAAGGAGTTCTGTCGTGTGGTGGAGTTGCTAATGCTAATGGTTAGCTTCTACTAGTCGAGCCATTTTCTATTGTTCCCTGGATGCTAAACCAACAACAGCCTTCCCGGTTGTGTGTCAAGATGGGTGAGTCCATGGGTTAACAGTAACAGTGTGACTTAGATCGGTCAGACTTTTCTGAAACAAGCATTTTTCCATCTATTTTCTATCAGAAGCTAATGCAGAAGATAGGTGTAGGAGACTATTTTCATGTTCAGCCTGCAGGAAAAACTCAGGGTGACTGATCATTTTCAAAATAATGAGTAAAAAATGGTTTCTGAAAGAACTTGGTCTTTAATTATGCACTTTAGGAAATACAGAAAGTTAATTTCCTATAGATAAAAAGATCTCTATTTTTAAATATTTCAGTTTGTTCTTTCAGTTGCAGCTGAAAAACAACAACATATTGATGTTGCCATTTCCTAAACAGAAAATACTTAAGATTACTGGTAATTCATTTTGTATTTTACTGTATCCATGCTTATGTTATCTGAGAAAATTTGACATTGTTTCCTCACTGTACTGAAAACAAACCAAAGCAAGGTACAAACCAAACCGGGCCGTTGGGCGAACCATCACACTTCTAACATTTACAGATCACTGGTGGCTGTTTTCATTTTCAGAAATAGACGGGACTACTTAACACCACATTTCTTTAATCATCAGACCATTAACAGAAAATAGCACTTTATTAGCCTAACTTAACACTATTGTAATAGTTACTATAAGGGCTGGGCAACAAATTGAAAATTTATCGTTATCAAAATTTCTGACTTTTATCAAGATCTTTTTTCCCATGTCAATACATTTGATAATAAAAAAAAATGATAATATGTGTGTAGGTTGGCAACGTTCATATCCCTTTAAGAAGTAATAACTCAAAGTAATACATGTGACAGCCCCATCTAGTGGACCACTTTGTTTCTGCGCATACCTGCAGTTATCGTCCAAATATCGTTATCGAGGTGAAATCCTCAATATATCGTGATATTGATTTTAGGCCATATCGCCCAGCCCTAGTTAATGTGATCCAGTGAGGAATGTTAAACAAAAGGGATCAACTAAATAACAGTAACAATGCCCACTTGCATTGTGTTTGCCACATTTGGTTTTATAGATATAATCCACACTTCTCATGTGATGGTTATTTGCTGCCATTTAAAAAACTGGATTTCTATCCAAAACACATTATCTGAGAAGAAGGGCTTATTGGTTTATTATAAGCTCCTTGTATTTAGAGCTGCTAGGTCCTTATAAAGGATTCTGTGGATGCCTCACGGGTGGCGTATCATAACTCTTATCCGATTAGCCGGGTTTTGTGTGTATGAAAGCCTTTCTGATAACCAAGCCTAGCGGTGATGGTGGACGTGTGTTTGCTTATGTTGCTGTCGACTGTTGATGTGTGTGAGCTGAAGAGCTGCAGAGTTATAGAGAAAGAGAAGAAGATGATACACACCAAGTTTTGTTCACACAGTCCTCGGAACTGCTGGAACTTCTGAGAGATTAGGAGTTGAGCGCTTCCCACTGCACTGCGAACTTTTCCCAGCACTGTGGTGAGAGAGGAGGGGGGCAGATCAATACCACAATGTTCTTGTTTCCCTGATCCGTCCCGGTGCGTCTTCAGTGCTCCCCACAGACGTCGTAGGCATGCCCGTATGTTAGCTCCACACGGGGGTCTGATCCCATCTGGAAACTTCAGCTTTTCATCTGTAACTTGTCGCTACATAAGTCTGTGTCAGAATTAGGGCAGACATCTGCCTCAACAAAACTGTTATGGCAACAAGACTTGCAGTGTTGTGAGATCCTGCTGCAGATTTGCATCAGATTTAAAGTGGACTAGGTAGCAACAGGTCACAGCCACACATTTAAAACACAGGCTATGAAAAACACCAAGCACACACTCCATTAGACACACACAGGACCTTTTGTCCAGATAATGACTAAGCACTTCTGAGTGTCAGGTGCCTTCGCTCGTTTTTGCATTTATGGTGTGTGTGTGTGTGTGTGTTTGCATGTGTCCTCACAGCTGCATGTTTCAGGCTAGTGTTGAGGCACTAATCTAATCTGGTGGTTTAATCAGTTCCAGACTAGATTTGTGTAATTCTGGAGATTACAGAGCTGCTCGTGTGCAGTAACCCCACAGCCTCATCCCTTCCACGCTGCGCTTGTCCAGTAGACGGAATCAGAGTCTGAGGACTGAAACCTGCACCACAAGCTGAGCTCAGACACCCAAAGACCTGCTGGAGAAAGGTCACCATTTATGGCTCACTTAAAGACACAACACATATTTGTTTACAGAGGTTTAGGGAATGAATGGTGATGTATTTTGCAGGTAAACCTCTACCTTTAAGCTCTCGTCCATCGTTAAAATAAAAGTTCTCCTTTAAAAAAATCTAATAATTTATCTTCTACCTCACTTTTAAGCCAAAGTCCTAAAATTTAGACAGAAAAATGAACTGATGTTTGTTTTAAGGCTTTTTCCATGTTGCATCCTACTCCAGATAAATAAAAGTTCTTGTGAACGTGCTGCCAGTCTCACCCTCTTCTGAGAGCTGGTTGTCTTTGGCTTCCTGCTCCATCTGATGACACCAGCCTTCCATGCGTCCCGTCTCAGCCTGCAGCAGCTTCAGGAACCAGTGGCCGTCTCTTCGACAGAGTGTTCCTCCTCCTCCTGCGCTCTGGGAGATGCTGCCGTTATTCCCATTTCCACTATCCAACCATGGGTCAGGAGGTGGCAGAGACGAGGGGTCCAGGGCTGGATCCAGACTCTCAGAGAAAGAGGAGGAGCTACTCCGTGTTGTGGAGCGGTTGAGGATCTGCCTGGGCGGTGGTGGGGGGGAAGTGTCTCCAGTGGTGTCTCCGTTGTCTAAAGAGTCTTGTCCAGGAGGGGAACTCATCGATTGGCTGGCACTGTTGACCATGACTTTTTTCTCAAAGGGTTTGGCGTTGTTGAAAAGAGACACGAAAGAGATGTCCGGCGTGTCCGAGTCTGTTTCCTGTTTGGAGGCCATGCTGCTGGAGCGACTGTTCCTGAGGCAAAAGGAGGTAATCATCACTGTTACAAGTCACAATCTCAAAGACAAAAAAAAAAAAAAAAAAACATTTTACTACGTTTGCCACACGCTTTACAGTATCTGCACAACACCAATGCACAAATAATCCATAATTCAACAATCCCTCTGCTTTGAACTCAAATTTGCTAAACTTAAAACAGAAAGTAAGGTTATGTGGACATTCTATAATCATATAATGTCTGTTTTAGCTTTTTGAACAACCTCAGCTTTCAAAGTAGATTGACAAGCTAATCTTTAAACAAGACCATTCACTTCATGCAAATGTTATTTTACAAACATCTTTATCACCTTTGTGAGTTTGCATCATGGATGTTGACATGATTTCTATGTGTTTTTTCAAGGACAAAAGGTAGCAGCAGTTAGCTTTAACATTTATGGTGTATCCCACAGCATGTTCTTCAGGAATATTATACTATTTTTTTGCCAGAAATGTGGTATGAAGATTTATAAAAGAGCACTGGCATGAACTACACTCAACAAAAATATAAACGCAACACCTTTGTTTCTGCTCCGATTTTTCATGAGATGGACTTAAAGAACTAAAATTCATTCCAGATACACATTATTACCATTTCTCTCAAACATTGTTCACAAATATATCTAAATGTGTGATAGTGATCACTTCTGCTTTGCTGAGATAATCCATCCCACCTCACAGGTGTGCCACATCAAGATGCTGATCCGACATCATGAGTGGTGCACAGGTGTACCTTATGGGCCATTCCCATCTGTACCGGGTCGGCCCGGGCCGGGTAGCGTAGGTTGTTTACATATTTGGGTGGCCTGGAATTTTTCCGGGCCAACCAAGGCTCATTCTCAGCCCTCTTCTCGAGGGGGTCTGCTTCAGGCTGACCAGGGCCAACACACCCACTGCTGACAGCAAATTCACACCTTCCATTAGAGCAAGCCTCTGATTGGTGGGTAGAATCAGCCCACTTGGGCTTAAGACAAGGATGTGTGGAATCAACCGGGCCAGGCTGGGGCCGACTGAGGCTACCCGGCCCGACCCGGTACAGATGGGAATGGCCCATTATACTGCCCACAATAAAAGGCCACCCTGGAATGTGCAGTTTTGTCTCACAGCAAAATGCCACAGATACCACAAGCATTGAGAGAGCGTGCAATTGGCCTGCTGACAGCAGGAATGTCAACCATATCTGTTGCTCGTGCATTGAATGTTCATTTCTCTACCATAAGCCATCTCCAAACGTGTTTCAGAGAATATGGCTGTACATCCAACCGGCCTCACAACCGCAGACGATGTGTAACCACACCAGCCCAGGACCTCCACATCCATCAGGTTCACCTCCAAGATCGTCTGAGACAAGCCACTCAGACAGCTGCTGAAACAATTGGTTTGCTTAACCAAACAATTTCTGCACAAACTGTCAGAAACTGTCTCAGGGAAGCTCAACTGCATGCTCGTCGTCCTCATCAGGGTCTTGACCTGACTCCAGCTCGTCACCGTAACAGACTTGAGTGGGCAAATGCTCACATTCTATGGCGCCTGGCACGTTGGAGAGGTGTTCTCTTCACGGATGAATCTCGGTTTACATTGTTCAGGGCAGATGGCAGACAGCGTGTGTGGCGTTGTGTGGGTGAGCGCTTTGCTGATGTCAATGTTGTGGATCGAGTGGTGCATTTTATTGATGGCATTTTGAATGCACAGAGATACCGTGATGAGATCCTAAGGCCCATTGTTGTGCCGTACATCCATGAACATCACCTCATGTTTCAGCAAGATAATACATGGCCCCATGTTGCAAGGATCTGTACACAATTCTTGGAAGCTGAAAATGTCCCAGTTCTTGCATGGCCAGCATACTCACCGGACATGTCACCCGTTGAGCATGTTTGGGATTTGCTTGACCGGCGACAGTGTGTACCAGTTCCCACTAATATCCACCAACTGCGCACAGCCAATTGAAGAGGAGTGGACCAACATTCCACAGGCCACAATTGACAATCTGATCAACTCTGTGCGAAGAAGATGTGTTGCACTGCATCAGGCAAATGGTGGTCACACCAGATACTGACCGGTTCTGAGTCCCCAGACCCCCAATAAAGCAAAAAAACTGCAAATTCCAGGGTGGCCTTTTATTGTGGGCAGTATAAGGTACACCTGTGCACTACTCATGATGTCAGATCAGCATCTTGATGTGGCACACCTGTGAGGTGGGATGGATTATCTCAGCAAAGCAGAAGTGCTCACTATCACACATTTAGACTGATTTGTGAACAATGTTTGAGAGAAATGGTAATGTGTATCTGGAATGAATTTTAGATCTTTAAGTCCATCTAATGAAAAATCGGAGCAGAAACAAAGGTTTTGCGTTTATATTTTTGTTGAGTGTAAATGTAATTTCTTTAGATTGGAGCTCTTTTTAAAGGGATATTCCACTCGAAATTTAATTTTTGTCTGTTGACATATTTCCCAGAGTTAGATAAGAGGGTAAAAACAAAACAAAGCTTGTGTGTGTGTATCTCTAACATGTACATCTGTATTTATGGAAGCAGGTGTCTTTGAGGCTGCCTTGCACCTTTCAGCGGAGGTTTACAGCTGTGTTTTGTCATAAAGTAGACCCAAGTCAAAAATGGTGCCTGTGATTCCTTTATGTTACTAATTATTTTCACTGGCAGTCAGTCTGATTATTTAGGTCACCAAGAAGAATTGGGAAGATCACTACTGAGTAATTTTAAGGATTTTACTCACTCACTCATGCTGGCTGGATCCATTCACTTACTGTGTTTTATGTGTTTTAAGCTAACGCTAAAGGAGTATAGTTGAGTCAGGAGAATGACTGGGCTGGTTAAAAAGTGTTCCCCCCCCCCCCCCCCCCCCCAATTATTTAATGCTGGGAAATATGTCAAAAGACAAAATTTCAATTTCGGGTGGATTATCTCTTTAAGATGTGTGGAATCTTTTTTGCCATATATAACTTGTCAGAACTTACCTCTCTTTTTCTAAACTGAGGCTGTCCAAAGAGCTATTGACAACAGTCATTAGCTGTTTTTAACCTTTCCTGGGATCCCCACTTAAATGCATCTGAACAACCACCTTTAGCCACTGATGCTGGTTAGAAACCAGACCCGTCACGGGAAAACAACCAGACTCTCAACCTGTCAGCTTCCTGTCTTGAAAACGAATGGACTCCATTTGAATGTTATCTGATGAGCTCCATTTCCTCTCACCAATCAGGAAATGTGTTTCAGTATCAGGTCAGATAATCAATGAAATACTGCAAAGACTTAACCCACAATAGAGGAATGAAGATAAGAGTGGACAACTGGACATGGATGCAGTAAAGGCCACTATTTTGATCATTCCTGAACCAAAACTGACACAACTGTAGGTAAGTTCTTGTGTGTACAGCATCAATAAGAACATGCATGTATAAAACCAAAGTAAAAAGCAAAAGGGCATCAGGTGGCCCTAGAGCGTGTGACAGTCAAACAGAAAACAGGACTGCAGCAAATGAGACACGAGTCTCAACATTCAGCAGAAACATATTTAAAGTCTCCCTCCAGTTTAAGCTGTTGGCTGCTGAAACCCCAAAGTCTCTATAGGCACCTAAAAAAATAGCTAGATCATTTAGTACAGGCATGGGGAACCCTGGTCCCCGAGGGCCGGTATCCTGCTTGTCGTTGCTCCAACACTTCTGATTCAGTGGTTGAATCACCTGTGCTGCAGCTCATCAAGCTCTGCAGAAGCCTGTTATTCACCTGCTGATTGAAATCATGCGTGTTGAAGCAGGGTTGAAACTAAGATAGCGGCCGTCGATGGACCAGGGTTCCCCACCCCTGTTTTTGCAGGACATTCGGATTCAAGTGGAAACACTTTTTTTTTTACTAAATTGCAAAAACAGTGATACAAGAAAAGGGCCGAGATTTTCTGCTTAAGAATTTTTCAAGTTACTGAATGTTTTTAGTAAATAAACATGCCTCATAATTGAAAACAGCAGTCTGTAAATGTGTAAACCAGTCCGGAGGGGAACTTCAAACAGTAAATTCTCACAGCAGATGGGCTTTAACGTCACAAACAAAACACATAACAGCACCCATGGTTTCACATCTACAGAGGCCCCGTGAAGGGACAGGACAGTCAGAAGAAGGTGTGTGGCTAGAATTTAAATTCCTCACATTGTTAAAAGGACAGGAAGAGGACTTACTGCCACCCGTCCTCCACCTGTACTCCGATTGACTGAAATTTGGCCAGCGGGGGCGTCTCTTCTCTTGGGACTTCCTGAATACAGTCGACCTTAAAGAGAATCAACAAACAAACAAACAAAAAAAAAAATAATCGCTAACATTTTTATGTTAAGACAAGTCACGACATGAAGACACTTTAAATTTCTGGTCAATAGATGAAGTTGTGTTGAAGCCAGGATCTAACAGGGGAAGAACAGAAGTAGCAGCATACCTGTATCCCAATGGAAGACAATTTCCTTCTAGGCAACGGGGTGACAAAATGCTCCTCCGCGGTTAGATTCCCTTTATTAGATCCAGATTTCAGTAATTCAGTTTGGACGACTGGGTCATTTGTCTCGGTGGAGGCGTTGGCAGTGCTGGGGGCGATTGGGTCCCTCGGGGTAGCGATGGGAGTGGGAATGATGTGCGGAGGACGGGGAATGCCCCGAGCCAGGCTGTTGGCGCGAGTGCTGTCCAGGCTGTCAGATGAGTTGCTGTGAGCGTGGCTTGACTGACTGTTGACCTCTGACCTCCTGTCCTGCTGGTCCAGGTAGTTGTCCTGCGCCGACTCGGTACTGCTCTGCACTGTGACCGAGATGTAGGGCTTGGAGGTTGTGCGCGGAGGCACGGGTGGAGGAGCAGCCTTCTTACAGCTTGTTATGTGTGTGGAAACTGAAAGAAAATAAATTGGATAAAAAGATTAAAAATGTAATTTTTATTTCAGGGAAAAAGCCTGTTGTAATTAACTTTAGGTATTCAGAGATCAAGATGAGATCCTATAAGTACAGTAAGAAAACAGTAAGTAAACAAGTAGTTTAGAGACATTGTGTAGTTTTTACCATTAATCTCTGTAAATTTCCTTTGGAATGTTGTTGAAAATGGATGAAATGATGACCCGCTGTTGAAAAATAATGCACACTTTGTAACATTCATCCATTTTCTTAAAGTCGACTATAAATGGTACGACCTTTTCAATTTTTTGAGCCAAATCCACAAGATCGGGGCAAGTTTTGCGCTGAGCGTCGTGTAGTATAGAGATGTATGGAAACACTGTTGGCATTGTCCTAGAGTCTGTCATCTATTTGCATTCTCTGCTGGGAAGAAACTGGCTCAGATCAGGAATGATCAGGAACAAACCAGTAACTACAAACACACAGGTCTACTGTGAACCAGTAGCTGCTGGAATAAAACCAAGATCCTTAAATCAAACTAGCAAATATAAGTAGTGAAGCATTCAACTAGATATCTGTCAGGGATCTGAGTACTTTTGAGAGTATGAACAGGAGACTCACATCTAAATATTAGATTTAATTATGTTTGTGCAAAAATATCCTACCTAAGGAGGAGTTTGAATAAAAATATTTATCCACCAGACTTTCATTACACAGTTGTTTTAGCTTCCTTCTGTCACAGTATTGTGTTCAAAAAGAGAAATCCAAAAGGAGGAAATCCGACCAAGTAATAAACCTTTGCTAACTCTCCATAGTAACATGATCATGTGGTAGCAACACACACACAGAGGGTAAAACATTTAAATATGAGCTACTTAGACCTTTACACCAATACAGCTGAAAGTCTGATTGTTCTTGTCATGATAATGATGATTAATCCAGGATATTATGTGTGCATTCAGAGCTACAACAGAGTTAGATAACAATCTACTTTTTCACAAACCATACAGATTTAAATAAAGAAGCTAAACATCATACAAATACCACGTAAACAGACATAGTCCCTTTGCAAATGACCAGATCTTCCTGGCACCACAAAGGGAGATTATGATATGAACTCTGAAGCTCTAACATAAACACTTCGTGTTCTAATAAAGAGACACAAACAGGCCCAGCCACCTCAGACTTGTGTTTTCGTACAGCCTTTAACACTAAAAACCGATTTAGGACATAATCTTAATCAATTTTCAGCTTCTTTTCAAAACTTTGATTCCCATGAAAGGACCAAATCAATCCCACATTCATCTGTTCCTGGTTTACATGTATGAAACATTTTCGTTGAGGTTTTTGAAAAGCTCCAGAAGTTGAAAAGCTCCAGAAGCAAACACGTGAGCTGAGGTGAAAAGACACAAACAAAAGGGTTTTTGCTCATTGTAATCCTTTAATCAGTGGCAATTGTGGCTCACACAACCGTACCCACATCACCTGAGACATGTCTTTGTCTACCCGTTTGTTTTCATATTGTCTTGGTCCGGGTCATGGGGATAACAGCCCCAGCTGACAGACCCAAACTGCCCTCTCCACAGAAACATCTACCAGCTCCACTGGTGGGACCCCAAGGAGTTCCTTGGCAAACATAACCCCTCCAGTGAGTCCTGGGTCAACCAAGGGGCATCCTTTTGGAAGGATTTGCTCCCTAGGAGGCATTCAGGACAGGATGCATCCTTATCAGACGTTCAAACCAGCTCAGCTTAGCCTAGCGAACTAGACCAAACATTGCAAAGCAAGAGTTTGGTCTAGTAACACTCCACTGGAACCTTTGTGGACCCCTAGCATTCTGGCAAGCCAACCACAGCTTTCTATCCGGGTTTCAAACCACCATTGTGGACCAATCACAGCACAGCTTTTACATCAATTTTGGACTGTTTGGACTTGGGCTTTACCAGAATCTGGAACATATAGATGCATTTAAGACCTTTATTTTGGAAAAAGGATTTATTTTTTGCCTTCTTCAACAGTGGACTGCCTCACTGACTGACATCTGTTGCGGTGAGTACGTCACATTGTTCGTTGTTCAGTAGCATGTGGAAATCATTTGAAAGACAACGGCAGAACCTGCCCAACGACCGAGAGCTGTCAATAGAGTGTTCCCAGACTAAATAGTATATTTTTTTAGTGTGGTTTACCAGGCTAAGCTCAGCCGGCTCTTCTCACTGTAGAGGAGCAGCAGCTCCTGGATGTTCAAGCTCCTCCTGAGCCCAACGCACCCCTCTGCAAAGAAAACTCATTTCGACTGCTTGTTTTCATGATTCTTGTTCCCTCTTCACTACAACTGTCCAGCGTCTGCTTCACTGAACTTGATATAGGACCTCTGCCCAGACCCGGAACTGGTCAAGAACTATGCCCTTGGAATAGAGGAGCTGATTTAGGACAGATTTCTTAAGCTGTCAGTAAAAGTTCTCTGGCATTGTTTTACCTTTCAGCTTAAGCAGAACAGAAAAAGCTATCTTGTCTGCTTAGATGGTTGCTTTACTAGTTCAGCAACTTCCCCCTTTCACGGTGGACAGTGGCGTATTTAGCAATTTGGGGGCCCAAGGCGAACACAGACATGGGGCCCCTTACACTAAATTTTCGACAATCAGAAAATCAGAATCAGAAAAAGCTTTATTGCCAGCACTCCAGCGAACCAGAGCATAGGAACTTGACTCCGCAGCACAGCCTGACCAAGGTTACACACACACACACATGTAGACAAAAAAGATACAGGCAGACCACGAGAGCAGCCATAATGGCGCTCAATCTTACCTTTAACTGGAGTTGCGAAACTCTCCCCTCTTCTGCCATGAGTCATTTTCCCTTTTTATTAGTCCTCTGCTTTTTTCCTGTCTTTCCCTCCCTTTGAGCGCTTTCAATATTTGCTCTGCTTTCTTTTTCCTGTCAGAGTTCCTGTGCTTTTGCCTTTGCTTTCTATTTTCCATTTTGGTCTATGTTTTCCTCCCTTTAAATATTTTCCATTGTCTTTCCTTTTCTGCTTCCTTTGATGTTTACATTGAAAAACAACATCATTTTCGGAAGTGAAGATAAAAGCTTTTTTGAAGCATGCTGCTTCTTTCTCTTATTGGAGCCACTAGGATAACTCCATTTCACGCTTAATGTTTTGACTACCGCTTCGAGTTTGTTACGAATGCTCCCGCCTCTCTTCTTCTGCTTTCTTTTCTTGTGGTCTTATGGCACTTAGCAAACAACAATTTGGTGCATTACCGCCACCCACTGATTGGAGTGGAATGACTACCAATCGCTTCCTGTTTGTGCATTGGCGTCTTAAAGGAATAGTCCATTGTGGCATTAACAGAGGGGTAGTCAGGGCTAGGGGTCCCCGAACATAAAGGGGCCCCAGGCGGCCACCGACCTATGCCTAATGGTAAAACCGCCACTGACAGTGGATTTCTTTTTCCCATCTATGGAGTGGTTTCTGTTTCAGCTACTGACTCCAGTCAAGGAAACTTGTTTAACTGTTGCTCATTAATACATAATAGCTAGAATCTGTGGGATTTCTTTTGCAAGAGAACCAGAACCAATTTTCTATTAAAACAATAAGAAAGAATAAAATAGATTTTTATGAATGGCTTGTCGTTGCTGCTCCAGTGCTCTCAGGGTCACATTCCAACCAAACCTGAACATTGACATCACTGTCGACACCAGAGAAGAAACCCAAACCACTCCTAAGCTGGCTCTGCTCCAGGTTTGTGGACATCTTCATTCCTAAACACAAACATCTCATTGGCTACACCTTTACAAGAAAGTAGCCAGCCTGTCAGCAATCAAGTCCACTCAATGAATGATGATGTTTTAACAGTCAAGTCAACTAAACCAGAATCCAGCTGAGCTGACACAAAAGCACACCCACAGCAGAACTGACAAAAAAGGTAAGCATCATCTTTCCTGTGTTGTATTTGCTTACACAACCTGGCCACACAAACACAGCTGCAGAAGCGTACAACTCATCCTTGATCGTCCAGCTTACCAACCCCAGAACGACCCTTTCTAGACCAAACCTAGTAACATTAAGCCTTAATGCTTTAAAGTTAGCTAAATGTGTCAAAAAGTGCAGCTTTGTAAGAACAACAATGCTCTTTAGAGGTGAGTTTCAAAAGCTAAATAACCAGATGCTTTGTGCAAAAATGCCCAAGTGAAATTTGGAGTGGATGCAGGGAGCTGCTGTTTTTGTGCCATCAGGACAGTAGTGCTGTTGTCTACGGTGATTGTTGGTTTTCTGACCAATGCCAAGAAAACAAGTCACTAAGGAATGTTCCAGAAGGTGAAAATCAGTATCTGTCATTGTCCTCCAAATATGCACGCATGCACATGCATGCATGCACACGCATGCATGCACACCTTTGTTGATGCATCAGAAATGACAGCATTCTGCATCTGAACAGGTTTAGTCAGACTAAATACCCATAGAGTTCAAATCTATTTTCTGCATTGTTTGAAAATTTGTACAGAGAAGATTAAACTACTTCACTAACATTACCGTAGCATGCAGACACCTTTTGTTACCAAAATCAATTATGACAATTAGTACATTTTTATTACAGCTGTGCATTTGTTCCATAACTGTTAGAAAGGCAGAAAAAACAAGTTACGTTCAAGTAAGTAAAACAGAACATGTTTATAACACACCCACTGTTTAATAAACCAACGTTGGACACAAATACTTATTTCTGTTAAGTTTATTAGATATATCAACAAAACAGCAGATTTAATTCCTAAAGTAAAACAACATCCAGTCTTCTTCTCATTTTGCACAAAAGAAGCTGTGGTTAAATAATTTCCATTAATTTATTCCTACGTTGATCCACTTGTATGAGCTAAATGTTAATACTGTAAGATGGATGAAATGCAGAAACAAAACAAAGGACGGTTGTAATTATGATGCTCCATGATCCATCCACATAATAATAAAAATAATAATAATAATAATAATAATAATAATAATAATAATAATAATAATAATAATAATAATAATAAATAATCCAATTCAGTTAACAGAATAGTTAAATCAGTTACTTACCCCGCAATAAACATAAATGTAATGACTTTGTTAAAATTATTGTAGGTTTAAAAAGGGGACCCAACGAATAGTTGAGTCAGTCGCTTTGGGCTGCGTTTAATAGAAACGCCGGTGACGTTGGGTGCCTTTGCTTAAAAGCTGCTAGTTTGAAGGTAGGCGTGGTCACACCGAGATGTCTTCAGGGACGCCTCCGACATTCCATGATTTTGGATGTGAAGTGAAGCGCCTTTGCCTTTTCTTAAACATTATATTGGCAACTTATGAGCTTTAAGACTTTTAGACGCAATTCTATCTTCTGTATATTTTCAAACGTGTGTCACTTCTTAAAAGTTATTGGAATTTTTAGAAAATCCAAATTTAATGTTTAATATTCTTAATATATTTAATAGTTTAATAATATTAATAAATGAAAACTTTTAGGAAAATAAATATTTATTTAAGAAACGGAAAATAAAAAAAACAAACCATCCAACTTCTTTATTTTCGCCACAATAATGGCCTTGAATATAACATTAGTTTAAAAGATTTTTGTTTGTAAACAGCGCCATCAAGTGGATAATCTATGGAACCTGCAGATGGAGAAAATTCTGGAAGGAGACACACACCCTGGACAGGTCCAGCTCATCACATGGCCACGTTTAAACAAACTGGTGACCCACTTACACCTAGAGAGGATCTAGAGTCACCAATCAAGCTAACATGCAGGATTTTGGTCTGTGGGGACAAACTGGAGAACCCAGATAAAGCCCATACATGCCTAGGGAGAACAAACTGACACTGCACTGAAAAGTCACAACTGGGATTAGATGCTTTGACCTTGTTGTGAGGCAACAGTTTTAACAATTGTATTATCTTGCAGCATAAAACAAACAAACAAACAAACAAACAAATTACCAAATTTGTGTCATTTCACACAGTCACTGTTTCTTTAGGGATACCTCTTTTTAAACTATAGGTTTCTTTGTAGAATTTGTAGAAGTGATACATTTAAAGGATTTTGTTGTTTTTTGGGTAGGGAGAGGGGTTTTGTTACCTGTGTGTGTGGGTAGGATGCGTGGTCTGTCTGTCCCAAAACGCTGAAGAAAAATGGCAAGTTGTTTCTCCTTTGGGGCTTTGTCCAAGCCAGTGGCTATCAGGTAAGAGGCAAATTGTTCTTTCCATGTCTTCCATTGTGTAGAAAGGTCGTCTAATATGGGCAAAAAAGGCTGCATTTGAGCTAAATATACTATTGGGGACAATCTGGATGGCAAATGTTGCACCAAGGGCCAATAGTATGAGGATCACTGAACTAAAGGCTGTACAAAAACAACCTTGGCCCAAGCGGTTGTACTTCTTGCAAGGGAGTGACAATGTGGGGAAGGCTAGGTGGTGTGAATGCGTTTGTCAGTTTGTAGTGATTTAGCAGTGCTTTGTCGTGAACAACTATTCTGTCTTTTATTAACGTTTAACCACAAGTATAAAAGTCTCACCAGTGCTGCTGCTGTAAGTGCGAATGGTGGAGTCGATCGGAGGCGGAGAGCAGCCTGAGTCTATGGAAGCTGTGTCATCATCTTGGGAACAGCCTGCCTGGATGGCTCTCAGGTAGCTGTGGCTGCGGGATCGGAAGCATGTTGGCATGGGCAGATCTGGAGGCTCCGAGGTGTCCTGAGAATGGGAATCTCTGAAGGTAGATTCCGAGCTTCGGTCATCGTAATGCTGACTCTTTTCCAGCTCTCGCAACTAGACAAATGAGATGACAAAAGTGATGCTGGTGGAGCCTATATCAGCCAGGAATAAACGTAGCATAAAACCAGTTAAAATGAAATAAATGCCTGTCAGTCATTTCAGATTTTTTATAGAACTTCTGCATACTTATGTAGAATTAGGTCAGCCATCTGAAAGGCTTCTTTTAAAAAGCAGCTCTGCAAATGTCTGTTCATGGAGAGAAACAAGGCAGAGTGATGACATTTTGATGACTCAGAATATTAATGGAAGGAAAAGAAGAGGTAAATGTAAACGAGTCAGCACCAAAAGGATAAAAGTGAAACACAGTTTTTGGAATCATGCAGCAAACTGCAAGAACAAATTTTTACTCTTGCCATTTAATTCTGATTCAAACATTTACACATTTAAACATTACACAACTTATCAACAACACTTCTGATTTGATATGCTTTGGATGTACTTGCAGGAAGGATTTGCCCGCAGGGGAAATTTCCAGTAATGCAGTATTTTCAAGAAACAGGCAAATTCTGTGCCACATTGCAGTGCCTTATTGAGCAAATCAACCCATGTTGATGTTCTCCAGACTACATTTGCAATTAAAAAACGAACCTGTCCCATGTGTCTGCTTAAAGTGCTGCAGGCCTGGCTGAAGCCGTCCTCGTCCCACGACACCAAAGGTCCTGCTTCGCCAATACAGTCCAGATTATCCAGGCTGCGATTATTAGACAGCTCTCTGAGAGATGGAAGACAGCTGAAAAGAGGGAGTAAAAACAAAACAGAACATTCTTCAACAATTGGAAGTAAAACAAGGAGAAAAAAAGGGATGGGCAAAGAGCTGATGTTGACCAAGAGGCAGCAGAAAAACATGAACTGGGGCTGAAAATGATTGATCAGAAAAATCAGGAATCAAAAGAGCGATGAGGACAGGACTGGGGCATTTTTTTAGAATACCAGTTCCAGTAAGGTCACTGTTTTAATTTGTCTCATTCCTGGATCAGCCATTACAGCATTTGTGCATGGAATGTCAGCGGTGTCAGATGAGGCATGTATGTGCCATTACGGTGCCAAAATGAAATCAAACATATTTTACAAAGGTTATTTATTTATTTATTTTGTTGCACATAACAAGAGCAGCATGGCAGTAAAGTTCCATGACATGATACATGAACGCAGATGTCCTTTAGGTCCCTCAATTTTTCACAGAGTCAGACTAAGCTCCTTAAACGCTGAAGCACTGGGCAGATGGTATTTACAAGCTTAAGAGAAAATAGCAGTTGTTAACAGCAGGACATGAATGCCAAACTTGAAGTTTCCACCGTGTAAGCCTTTCTGAGGGGGAGGCAGCACAAAGCCTCTGGTGGGAAGTAGTTTAATAACAACTGTTTTGCAGCTCACCCCTGAGAAGAGGTTTACAGACCTACGACTGACCTGCTCATTGACCTGCCCAGCTGGTGCAGAGAGGGCACACTGTGGAGCGGAGACCACAGGGCATCCAGCTCCCCCTGCAACAAGGTGTAATCCAGGGTTCTGCTGCTCACGCCAACCGGGTCGGCGCAGAACGGAAGAAAGCAGGGTGGGGTGAGATCAGAGGCTGGCTGGGATATTAGGTGTTTAAATGATCAGGCCTTATCGGATATAAGAAGGCTAAACTCTTAAGTAAATCAATGAAGTTTTCAAAGTGGGGATGTGTGTTTAGCCTTGTCTTCATAGAACTAGAACCACTTTTATAAATGCATATGATACTGAACTCTGAAATCCCTCCCACCAAAAAAATAAAAATAAAAAAATAAACCCCAATTAGTATCTATGTTAGGAGTCCAGCTAATACTTAATAGTGAGCCTGTAGTAATTGCTTCTGCTTGCAGTGAATTTTTGTATCAAAGTGCATAAAATTAGCAAAAAATAAAATAAAAAACAACAACCCCAAACTGTGAGCAAATCCCAAGTATTTTGTGTATTTTAGCGCATGACGGTCATATTTCAAAAGCCTTTGGGGATCCTAAGTCACGCCCGTCCACTTCTGGACCATTGGTCCCCAGAAGAACAAAAATATGAATGCAAGTCAATGGGGCTAAAAACACTATTTTCTAATTCCGCTTGTTTTGTGCCATTTCACATATGATGTCCATGAATTTTAAAGAAGCTCAGTGAACTTCAAATCCTTCCTTCAGGAGGTAAGAACCACCATAAATCTGGCCATGTGTTAAGAAGCAGCTACGCTAGGGGAGAGGAGATTATGTGATGTCATATATCAATCAATCAAAGCTTTATTTATAAAGCGCCTTCCGCAACCCTGTCAGGAAGCCCAAGGCGCTGAACACTGTACAGTACAAAATATGCAATATATGCAACGTACCGATGTCTGATTTGCTAATTACAAACTTTTACAAGCCGATAAATCTCAAAGTACATGACTGGCGTGGTTGAACTACACATCATTACTTTTCATGTAAATTGAAGTACAGTATGTGCGACCCAGGGCAGAAGGCAAAGCAGATGAGAAAAAAGCTCTTTTAGCCACAATGACTTGAATTAATTTTTTCGTTCTTCTGGGGACCCATGAGCCGACTGGAAAGGGAGGGTACTTAGGCTCCCTATTAGCTGGCTTACATCCCACTGAGCCAAAATAGTTTATAGCATCTGCAGCAGCATCTGAGTGCATCGAAAATTGAAGAAAGTCACATTCCCAGTTTGTCAGAATGACAAAGATGATTTGCTGCACACCAAAGTTATTCCATAATCTGTATTATCTAAGATTTGTGGCGCACATACAGTGGAGCCAAGTTTCAGAGGATCCGTAGTAACTGGCATGTGGACGACAACGGGGAGCTTGACACCACTTTTTATGCGTGAGTAAACCCAGCGTGGACTCTGTGAGCATGGGTGTCTGAACCTTTCTGCACATGTCCACAGTGAGGTAGGCTGTTGTGGTTTCCTTCCTGAGCACACAAGATCTGCTGGACTGTTTGTTTTCTTTTGATTGTCAAGTGGTTTTGGCTGATTATGGTTTAACATTTTTTACGAGTGTGTTTCTGAAAAATAACCCTTTCTATAGCTGCATAAATTGAAGAGCCAGCCAACAACTTCCCACACAGGACACAACCTAAGCTTCAACATCAAAAAGTTGTACATATATTTCTTTAATTTACCAGCAATACTGACTATGTAAGTATAATGTTTTTGGTATGAATGAAATCTTTTGTGTTTTCTAACATGCACCCAGCTCAGGTTTCTCTCTTACTTGCGTGGGGGTAGCTGGTCACTCAGAGACTGCTGGGTGGCCCTGAGGTAGCTCTGGCGGCGTGCAGCTGTTTTGGGCGAGGGTTTAGGACTTCCCTCTGAGTCGTCGCTGTCTTCTATGTCTCCCATGGCTTTCACATAGCTACCACTGCGCATCCGACGACATGGGATTTCATTGAACCCCCCGCTGCGGCCTAGTGTGCTGCTCCAATCACCCTACAGGCATCAGTATATGTAGAATATGAGTCTCCAGTTTTAATTTCTAACATCAAATCACTTTTTCATGTTCCTAATTGTGATTACACTTGATCTACTGATTTTCTCAGAGACTATCCATTTCTAGCCTACTCACCCTGCGTCCAACCTGTAGGTAGTTACAAGTCAGCTCTGGTTGGCAGGACTTAGATTTGAGCACGGATCTGTCCAGAGTAGTTGATCCCTTTTGAATGACTTGTCTTGGTTGGCCCATCGTCAACGTAGACCAAGATCCCCCTTTCACGTAGTCATTATCATTTAATATCATGCCTCCTATTCCGCTCCCAATATCCCCTGGGCCAGGAAGTGCTGGATACTTCATTTCATTGCTGCTTTTAGATGAACTGATGGTGTTGTAGCCACTGTGAATGTATTTACTCTGGCCACTCTGGCTGTCATGGCCAGTTGGGTGCCCCAGAGTCATCATGGCCATGGAGTTGTGGTAGCTGCTCAAGTCACTGCTGTCCAAATCGTCCGAGCTCCAATAACCTGACATGTTGGATCTTGGCCGTCGCTTGGTTGCCTCTGATTTTGTGGCACGATCTTTACTTTTGGATCTGCGATGATGCTTCCCTCCATTCTCGGTGCCAGATGAGCCTCCAACGCTGCCAGCAGATCGTCCATTAACGTTTCCTTTCATGTTGTGGCTCTCCAGGGACTGGGACTTTGCAAAAAGCTTTTGCACCGAGTGCAGCATGTAACGGATACGGCCAGGGCTGTCTGTCCGCTGCTTGGCAGCAGCAGTTGCTCTGTGAAACTGCAAAGTGCTGAATCCATCACGACCTCCAGGTAGCTGCTTTTCAAACTCCAGCAGACTGGGTGGGGTTTGACTCTTGGTCATGTGGTGCGAAATAGTCGCTGAGCCACTTGTGATCATAGGCATCCGTCCGCTCAGTCCTGCCATGCCCATACTTGTTGCCATTCCCATTGACATAGATGTCCCCATGGTCCCCGTGCCAATGCCCCCAATACTGTCCCCAGGAGGAGAAAAATCAGAAGGGTCATAAGAATTGTAGTGAATACTAGGAAAGGTGCTGCTGTTGGACAGCTGATTGTTGAGGGGCAGCATGCAGTCTGTTGGGAGGGAGTGTGGGTTGGCTGAGGAGTAAAGGTGGGGGTCCATGGTGCCATAGTGGTCCATTGCAGGGGTGAGTAAGTAAGGGCTGCGGGGCAGCGTGCTGGTCTTCTGCGAATACATGGCCTCCGGATGGCCAGTAGGGGGTTCACAGGATTCTGAGAGGTGCCTGTTACGGTTGGCCCCCAATCCTTTCATAATGGCAAGGAGGTCCGACTCTCTAGAAGATCTCCAGGCCAAGCAGAGAAGTCAGATGGTCCTTTAGAGGATTCCTACAAAAAGAGACAAACATGGCAGTAAGAACAAACACAACAGAACTGATTACATAATCTCAAAACACAATAAAATACATTCAGACTCAACTGTGTATAAAATGTTTGACGCACAAATTCGTCCACTCACGTGGTGAACCAACAATGCAGGCCAGCTTAGCGGCGTGTCTGAGCCTCCTATTGCAAACATCTGTCCATAAATGATGGAAACAGCTGGTAGAACAAGAACTCACTGTAGTGAGTTAAAGAAAGAGGACAATAGCTGACATAAACTCCTCCGCCTTATGGGGGGCATAGTAGCAGCAGCAGAACAAGTAACTCTTTTTTCTGACTAATCACATTCAAGAAATAACAAAAGGTCAGCAGATCAATAATCACTCCAAAAATATATACCAGAGGGCCTAGTACGCTATACTCCCGAAGTACCCCCCAAAGGGTCCTCTGAGGAACACGGTTGAATGCCTTCTCAAAATCCACAAAACACATGTAAATCAATTGGGCAAACTCCCAACTCCAGGACCCCTTAAGGGTATAGAGCTGGTCCAGTGTTCCATGGCCGAAAATGACATTGCTCCTCCTGAATCTGAGGTTCGACAATCCGCCGGACCCTCCTCAGCAGAACCCCTAAATATACTTTACCAGGGAGGCTCAGGAGAGTGATCCCCCTGTAGTTGGAACACACCCTGTGGTCCCCCTTTTTAAATAGGGGAACCACCACCCTAGTCTGCCAATCCAGTGAAACTTCCCCGAATGTCCACGCGATACAACAGAGTCACATCAACAAACACAGCCCTACGACATCCAGAGCCTTAACCCTCTGGAGGCAGGTGTTGCAGATTTGCAACATTAAAACCTACCTACCTGGTTACTCCACATACGTATTTCATGAGCATTTTTTAACTCAGAAGTACCCCTGAAGGACTTAGTTGTTTGTCCTTTCATCAAAACTAATTTTGAGGCTGAGAGGGTTAAGAAACTCCGAACGGATCTCATCTACCCTTGTTTTTTTTAACCACCTCAGGTTCAGGGATTGCCACCATGACAGGCACAAACGACCCTGTGGACGCAGCTCTTGTCGGTCGAATTGACAATGGAAGCACGGAACATGGCCCACTGGAACTCAACGCCCCACGCCTCCCCCGTAACATTTTGGAAGTTCTGTCAGAGGTGGAAATTGAAACTCCTTCTGACAGAAGACTCCACCAGACGTTCCCAGCAGACCCTCACAATACGCCTACCAGGTCTGACCGGCATCCTCCCCCACTATCAAAGCCTTTTCCCACCAGGTAGTGATCAGTTGACAGCTCTGCCCCTCTCCACACCCAAGTGTCCAAGACATGAGGCCACAGATTAGATGAGACGACAACAAAGTCGATCATCAAGCTGTGGCCTGTAATGTCCTGATGCCAAGAGCGCATATGGACACCTTTTTGTCTGAACATGGTGTTCATTGTGGACAATCCATGACTAGCACAGATGTCCAATAACAAAATACCACTCAAATTCAGATCAGAGGGGCTCTTCCTCCCAAACCACACTCCTCCTGGTCTCACTGTCGTTGCCTACATGAGCGTTAAAGTCCCCCAGCAGAATGAGGGAGTCACTGAAAGGAGTGCTCTCCAGACAACACATTCTTACATCCAAAGCGTCAAAATATGACGCGTGTGACCAAGCCTCAATATATCACGATTTGGAATGCCCCAGCATGCCAGGAGAGGACGCGCAGGGACACGCAAGGACACGCAAGGACACGTGTCACCACGGGCATCTGTATTTGATGCCCGTGGTGACACGGACATTTTTCCTCAATTTAACCTTCCCCTCACCCCAATCCTAACCTTTACTCAGTAACTCAGCTGAGTTAAGGTTAGAATGGGGGTGAGGGGAAGGCTAAGTATTTCACAAGTCGCTCAAATGTCCGTCTCACCGCGGGCGTTGGATACCGACAGTGCGTCCTCAGTGCGTCCTCTCCTAACACGCTGGGGCATCCCAAATCGTCATATATTGAGGCTTGGTCACACTCGTCATATTTTGACGCTTTGGGTGTGAGAATGTGTTGCTCCAGAACCTCTTCCAAGGACTCCAAATTGAGTAGGTTGTCTGAACTGTTGTTTGGTGCATAAGCACAGACAACAGTGAGGACTCGTCCCCCCACACGTAGGCGGAGGGAGGCTACCCTCTTGTTCACTGGGTTAAACCACAGGCACCAAGATAGGGGGCAACTAGTATGCTCACACCTGCTCGGTGCCTGTCAGTAGGGGCAACTCCAGAGTGGTAGAAGTCCAGCCCCTCTCAAGGAAACTTGTTCCGGAGCCAGAGCCATGCATTGAGGTGAGTCTGTTTATATTTAGTCAGAATCTCTCAACCTCACACACCAACTCAGGCTCCTTCCCCACCAGAGAGGCGACATTCCACATACCAAGAGCCAGCTTCTGTAGCTGAGGACCAGACTGCCAAGGTCCAAGCCTTTTGTTAACACCCATCAGACATTGCACCCAACCCCTTTGAACCCTCCCACAAGTGGTGAGCCCATGGGAAGGGGGACCCACGTTTCCTCTTTGGGCTGTGCCTGACTGGGTCCCTCGCGTGAAATCCTGGCCACCAGGCGCTCGTCGACGTACCCCACCTCTAGAATTAATGATGATATGATGAATCAAATATCCCATTGTTCCAAAAGCTAAAATTTCTCCTTTTCAAAGATACAACAGATTTAGCATCAGGTGATAATTAAACCAGCTCTCTCATAATCACACTTTGTTCACAGACCAGTTTAAATTGGACCTAACTGCATGTCCCTAAAACATTTTTGTGTTCCTTTATTTCTTAAAAACTAAAAAAATAAACTCATTATTTTTGCACAACGAACAAAAAACAAACAGAAACAAAAAAATATATCTCCGTAAACCATAAACTGGCTTTTCATTCAGTCATTATTAATAGGCTGCAAGCGGTGACTCATTTAGAGTCATTAACGTAGTTTATCTGAATGTCATCTCAGTGGATAGGGTCAGACCCTCTAAATCCGTTTACACAACATTAACTAACCGCCGCGTATCCCATCACGACACGCCACTCAGCTCAACTCAGTGCGCTCTCGTCAATATGTCAGCCACTATGACTTCAAATGACAGTGATAGCTTTGGTGGAGGCAGGCTTGTCTGCAGCTATAGATCCTCTTTTGTGCCCTCTGTGGATCAAATGCTAAAGGAGAAAGTGGAGGGTTTAACTCTAAGTAAGGGTTGTTAATTGGAACACACAACACAACATTTTATCTGGGCTAAATCTAAGACACTTGCATTAACAAAGTAACCCTTACAAGCTAATTAAGCAGGCGTAGAAATTAAAAGGTCCTCAGAGAAACAATAATTGGATTTTCTGAGACAACAGAATGTGGTCTGAAAATAATTTTCTTATATGTCCAAAGCCTCTTTCGGGGGGAATAAGACGGGACTGTTCCTTTAATTAGGAATTAAAGATTTGAGCTGCATGTTTAATGAAGATAGATGCAGTGTATGAAATTACATTGAAGCAATCAACTAACAAACTAAAAACCCTTGTAGCTTCCTTGTGGGTTATCTTTGAATCAATAGGGTTAGAGAATAAACAAAAATGTTATAACATTTTTACTATTTTATTTAAAAGAAAACAAAGTGTTAAAACAAGAATCCTCATTGGTCAAAGGCTGGTGCAGAGTGTTCATTTCTGATTAATTTTTAACCATTTAATTCAGAACTTATGAAGGAAAACGGACGCCCCAACCGTGTGAACAGGACACGGGGAGCACGCAGGTAGGGTTTATTTCACATTGGTACAAGTTCTACCCAAAAACGTTAAGGTGTCTTTGTTTGTGTGCTTTTTTGCACCTCGTTCAGAACGTCTGGTGACAAAATCTCCCTGCCTAGTGCACTGGGGAGCAGCCATCTGCTCCTCTGATGGCAAAGGAGGTGTTTGGCAGTGTGTCCGAGTTTTGACCTCACCCAGTCTCTTGTTTCTGAGCTGCAGGCAGGTCAGACTAGTGACCACAAGAGGGTGACACACTCAAGAAAAGATGGAAAGTTTTCTGCAGGATTCATGACCAACGACCAAAAAGATGTAAATATTTTCTTTTCACCTTGCAGATTTTATACTTAAAAGTTTTCTTTCCTTATATCTGTACAAATTACTTTACAATATGTTCTTTGTTCCATATTTGTGTTTTCCAAATCTCCTCAAAACTATTTAGAAGTTCAGCACCTGGCGGCTCAAAACTGGCAATAAAACTCATCCAATCTTTCTGAAAATAGAATTTTTTTATCACTTTGTCACACTTCTTGGCACATGAGTTTATTTTTTCAAAAACATACGGCTTTTCTGGAATGAGAGCATCTTCCTTTCCGGTGTTTTCCATTTAGAAGCAATTATCAGATCCTCAATCAAAAAGCATTTATGTGAAATCTGTAAGTAACCAGATTTTTTAGCCAGTTGCCAGTTTCTACATTGGCATGCCTGCAGGTGTCCAGCTTTAGATGAGAGACGGTGGAAAGGACATCCGCGCAGCAGTGGACAGTTTGTCGAAGCGCAGCTTGGTCAGTCCATCTGCTCCATAAGCCTGACAACATTACCCTGTAAGACAGGGGGCAGCTCTGCATGGGTCTGTGCCCCATGTGTGTACGTGTGTGTGTGTAACAGGACAGATGAATGTTTAAAGAACACAGGTGAGGAAGATGGAACAGGAGGAAATAAGGAAAAACCCAAAGCTGTGGCCTGTAAGGTGAGGGTTTTGACGACAGCGGAAATGAAAGCAATCTCCAGGGATTGAAGCAGTGTGAAAATGAGGAAATGTGTCATAAGCTCTGCTCTGGGGAGGCGATGAAGAGATGCGACAGAGAAAAAGGAAGAAAAAAGATGGAAAGCAGAGAAAAAAATGGTATGCATTCTGATCAGTTCACCCCAGTAAAAGGTGTGAGTGTGTAAATGAGTGTGAACATGTGACGTGCATGTGTGTGGAAGATAATTGCTCA